GTAAATTACTTCGATGTTTACTTTGTTTTGTGAATTTCATTTCAACTTAGCATCCTATGGTGAAATTTGCTTACCTTGCTGCCGCCAGTTTCATTGCTCAGTTGCGAAATGCTTTATGATTTCATTTATTCTAATTACTCACCAGATAATATTTCAAATAAACAATCTTATCATTGAGATTGAATAAGTTTTCCAATTGCTTGTTGTAACGAACCGACGACTTTAATGACTTTTAATTATAAATTTGAATGATTGAAACTTCGTGTCGCTGCTTTCTATAATTTACCAAAAGTTCTTCTACCAAAACGGTTAATTCATCGTCAGTGTGTCTGCAGACGGCCGCTTTTCTCAGTTCGGCTGGTAAATTGTGCAACTCTGTTTAAGATGTTGCAGATTATTTTTCCATCTGAAAACATCAAATAAACTAAAAATAATAAGAATCAAATTGAAATGAAGTCTTTTATGGTGCGGCTGTGCGGCGCTCTTTTGAAAATGGTTTGTCAACTGTAAACACTTGGCAGTATTTAATAACAACTCATCTGAGTCACATTCATTCCATTTTCGGTGGGTGTGTGTGTATATGTGTGAATGGTTTTGGGATGGTGTGTTTCATGTTTTGAAATTGAACATTTTATTTAATGAAAGTTTGCATCGGCCTTTTTCTTTCGTTTTTGTTACAGCAAAATGCGGCGCATCATCATGATTCTTTCATATATAAAACATATTGACGGCATGAGCGAAAAACCATCATGTGAACCCAGCTGAAAATTGCATGCAAAATATTTGAATAGACATTTTGAACACATACACACACACACACACATTTTGATCAGTATGTTCTGTGTTGGCAACGAAGAATCGCTACAACTATCAATTATCTTTGTGGCAAAGCCTAGGCTTGTATCATTTGCTTTCCGCATTCTTCATATCGACACCATTCATCCGATGCAATGTGTTCGCAAACATTTTTCCTTTATCATGCGCGTCAAATTTTGAGCATTAATACAATGGATGCGATGGATTCTTCGCCCAAGTTAAACGATGTTTATGTTTGGGCGGAGAGGGAGAGAAAATAAGAGCGGAATATTAAAATGCTACCGCACGCAATCGATTTTCAACGTCCAACACATTTTCATAAAAGGCTTTTTTTTTCTTCTTGACTCTGGCAGCGTTTATATGTCAGAACGCTCAAAATCGACTGTCGTTTTCGTTCCGCATCTTTGGCATGCCGTCAGAATCCAGCCGTCAATAGATAATTTTTTTACGCTTTTCTTGAATCAGGGAAAATGTGAAGATGATTTTCAATTTTTGTTATTTGATGTATGTAATGTGTGCAAGACCATATGCTCTTCGTTGTAAAAGAGCCCACATACCAATAACACCGTCACCATTCATACTTTGCTCCAGCAAATGATGCAAAATACTGTAAAAGAATCACATTTTAGCATCGAGTCGACGAGAAGAAGACAGTTTAGTGGAAGATTCACTACGATGTAGTCAAGAGGAATATTTTATAATGAAAATAATAATTTACATCATTTTTATATTATAGAAGGAAAAAAACAGAACACAAAATTGCATGTCTGTTCCCACGCAATTATTTCGCGAGTTCGAAATTGGAAGTGTGTCTTTATTTTTGACTTTAATCAAATAAAAGTACACTGAAATTCATACTTGGTTATAATTATAATTTTAATTGGAACCTCTGCCGAATTTGACACATTTCGAAATAACTCTACCCCAATCTTCTGACGTGCACCTTTGATTTCATGATTGATGGCATCTTCTGGTAACAAATATTAGTTGAAAATTTCATATATAATAAAATTGGTCAGAAAAAATTCCATGAATGAATATTTTCTAATAAAACGAAAGCGAATTTTAATTTTGAATTATTTTAACACATGTACTTTGCCAGTAATAAACGTCACGAAGAATAATTAAGTTTTTTTCGAAGCATATATAAACCTCTAGCGTTTCAAGAAAAGAAAAGAAAAGAAATCCTTTGTGAACGTTGTAAACTCCGAACGTGGACCTGTTTACAATGAAATCTACTACATTCTCTTGCTTCGTTGCTGTTCTATTTTCGGTGAGTTTTACAAGTTAACATCAATAAGTTGGGTGGAATTTATTTTCCTTGATTTTTTCCACGTTTTGAAATATAGGTGGTGGTCTTGAGCTATGCCGAAATGAAGATTGTAGACGACCATAATAACATGGCCTTAAACGTGAAAAATCCGAATAATGGCGTGGACAAATTATATGGAGGCAATCCGAGTGGAAGCATTGGTACAAGGAACCTGAATAGAAACAAAATTTCATTTACGCCAGAGCAGCTCAACAAGCTCATTAAGAAATCTTTGTGAAAAGTGTCGGAAACTTTCCAAACGGAAGTGGAATTTCGCAGCAAAAATTGAGGAACAACATTTCGAAAGTCTATAAAAAGGCTATGAAAAAACCATTGAAGAAAAATAATAGGAACAAGAAAAATAGAAAGAATGGAGATAATTATGAGGAGGAACGGATGGATCAGTATTGATATTAATTAATTTCAATAACAATTCAGCTTCGAAGTATCACTTGTAACCATTCTTTTCCGCCTAGATTTTTATGCTTTTAAAATAATATTGCTTTTCTTTACTAGGCAGGCAACAGAAAGATAAATAAATTAATACTGTCTGTTTATGACAATTGTTTACATTAATAAGAATGTCAAATTACTCATCCCTGAGTATTATCAATCGCACGTGCCGACGTTGATGAATTCTTGACGTCATTGCTCTAATTACATTACCAAGTATTAATTGCGACATATATTTACAATAGTGCGAACGTTTGATTGACGAAAACTCTTGTACGTTATAATAAAAAATAGTTGATACCTGCAATAAATAAATTCATAAAGCTTCCCAGGGGAATAATGATACAATTCTTTCAAAAAATTAAGTTATTTTTATTTAAACACTAGTATTGAAGCAACGAGTAATCGAGCATGGCAATTCATGTAAGTCAATTCAGTCTTAATTATAAGAACTGCCATGCAATAAAATCTTTTGTTCTATATTTAACTGTATTGAAGTGCACTTCTGAACATTACGCAGATTATTATCCCACTTTTACAATTCTGCACATGCATTTAAGCTTGGAAAAACGTATGTAACCTGGAATAATGGCAAAATCAGCTTATGAAATAAATAAGAGCACACGCACACGCACTCACGCCATTGCATCCGTGCATGTATTTTAAATGCAACGTATTTTTTGGGAGTGATGGCATATTCCTTAAATTATCGTATCTGTTGACATCGTTGTTGCCTGGGTATTGTTACAAAATTACAAATTCTGTGCAGCATTCTGAGTGGGGTAATTTATTTCGGTGCAGGTAAGGAAATGCTTGAACAATGCGAGGCTTCTTGCAATACTTCAATTGGCAACATTGTGGATGCATTGCACATAGATTCGTTTACCATTATCTGCATACGTTTACTTCATCAAATTGGTTCGTGTCGAAATTTAGAACAATATCGAAGAAATCATGTGCTGCAACATTATTTCCTGTTGTTGATATGCTTGTGTACGTGTATTTTTCGACGATGTATGTGTTTTTGTGTGTAGAAAGGCTGTAGAGTCTAAGTCAAAGCGCCGCAACATTTTGTTTTGTTAAGTTTTATCATCACAAAACATCGCATGTATCCATCATTATTCATTAATTTTATATCAGTTGCATGTTTGTAGTTTACACACATGCCTACTACAAAGGTCAATCACCAGCCATTCCGCACAAAACCATAAAATCCTAACACACATTGAATGAATGCTCTTGCAAAAGTTTTCCATTTGTTGCCCCTCGAAAATTTACTATGCCCACAACGACACCAAAAAACGAGCGACCGAGAGAAAAGAGAAGAAGAAGAAGGAGGAGAAAAAAAAACTTGACCAAACGTAAACTATAGCCAAAGTCAAAAATGAAAATTAAAGATGGAAGAAAAAGTTTTTCCATCATGCATTTCTTTTGATTATAATTCATCGTCGATGTCTTTGATTTGTGCCGTTGCTTATGTCAGCTCTCACTCTCTCTCCCTCTCTCATTCTGTCTTTTGCTCATCGGAGATTTTCTGTTGCCCACATGCTGCACGGTTTTTGGTTTATCATCATTGCCATCAAAATGATAACTATGGGGACTGTGCGAAGAAAAGCGCTTCACATCGTTTAGCTGCCGATATGGTAGCCGGAAAAGAATACAACGAAAAAAAAATAATGAAAAATTCTGGAGAAGACAAAACCAAGGGAGAAAAACGTAAGCAACAGCCGCAGCAGCATCATCGGCCAAACGAAATGAGGGAAAAAAAGAGAAGATATAGCAGAAAAGTTTCATGTCCCAAATATTATTCTTCAATCAGCTCGACGATTTTATATAATGCTGCATTAAAAGAAGCTAAAAAAAAGATGCGGTGAAAAGAAAGCGGCAAATGAAGGAAAATGAAAGAATAAATGGTCGAGAAAAGAACAAGCGCAGCGCATAAGGAATCGAATAGCATAAATCCTCAGATTGACTTGACTTTTGAACATTTCGTGAATACGATTCGACATATTTTTCTCTCTCTACCGTTCGCTCTGTTTATTTGTTTTATCTCCTGAACACGTACACCGCAAACTACGTCGCTGCAATCTATCGAATGTCTCTAGGCAGCGACGAGCACAAATTATGGGAATTTTTTGCTCGAATCAGGGATTGTTCTCGTTATACATTCGACTGTTTTTTTCTTTCTTTCTCTCCCTCGGATGCACCAGTTTAAAAGCTGCAAATGTGATTCTCTTTATCGATCTCGACATTTACGTCAGTACACTTATTTATTTGCTCACTTGTCTTTCCCTCTCTTTCTCTTTCCCTCTATCTTATCTTCTTCTTCTTATTCATCATGCTAGAAAGAGAGACTTAACTCTACATGAAATCCTCGTTCAATCAACAAATATCAAAATTAAAAAGAAAAACACACGACTTCATATATAATTGAGACTAATTTTAATTCTATCATTTGAAAAAAAATAATATAAATAAATTGATATAAAAAGAGATTAAATTAATTCAATAGCATAGGATGGATTTTGATCATTAGTTACGTTATTTACAAAGAAAATGTTGTTTTTTCTCATTTTTGTCGCTCAATTAGCTGGTTGCCAGATTAAATCAGCGCGCGAATTTAACCAAAGTTTTCGAAATGATGAATGAAATACGGTAACTTTCGACCTTTGTTAACCTCATCACAGGCAGACATAACGCTCTTTGTAAGTGGTCGTGGTCCACATGAAAATACACCAATTTTCGATACCTGCAAAGCAAACAAATACCGTTCCACGTTAATTATACCGACTCAGCACAGTGAGATAAAAACAAAAACTTGATTAATAAAAACTTGCAATAATTTTGTAACTCACATATGAATGTTTTCGTTGAACGAATTTCAAGAAGCTTGACATATCCGGCCGACCGAAATGATTGACGGCTTTCAAGCCGGTGAACATTGACGTTTTCGACAAACGTTGAAAATGATTCTCGCAAATGTACAGCATCGTTGTGCGTAAATCAAATTTATGGAAAAATTGCGTAATGAAAATGTGAATTTCCAACACATTGGTCACATCTTTTTTCTCTACATCACGCAACACATCGATAAACCACTCGAAATGCTTGTGCGATGGACATATCCATAAAAAGTAAACCTTTTTACATGCAACACCTGAATATCGATTTGTACTCGTGCCAAACACCAAATCGTTGAGAATCGATGCGTACGGCGTAACACCGATACCGCCACCAACCATGACAGCCACTTCGAATTTATACCAATCTTGATTGCCACCGCCAAATGGACCCTCGATTCGAATCTTTGGCTGATCTTCCGGATTGTAATTACATGGATCAAAGTAATTTCGTAGTTTCCATGTCCATGGACCTTGAGCTTTGATGTGACAGCTGAGGTAATTTTCATGCGGCGCAGATGTTAATGTAAAACTGTGCATCTCTTGTGTTCGGAATGCCGTGCACGACAATCGCACCCATTGACCCGACAAGTATTTCAAGTTCGGCGGTCGGTAAAACTTTATTTTAATAACATCGGATGGCAACAGTTCCGTTTGAATCACATCCAGTGCCATGTACTTTGTTCGCAACGATACCGCTTTGTCGAGCGTGTAGATAATCGCTGGACCAATGAAATACATCCAGAATCGTGGTGGACCCGTTAAACGCGCCAAACCATGTATCATGCACAACATATACAAGAATATGTACAACGAATGAATGTTCCAGAAAAATTTGTACGCTTTCTTGCGAATCGTTGGATGTGCAAATATAAATATTAAGCACATTATGATGAATAGGAGCACACCGGTTACGCCTGCAATGAAGAGAAGTATGGTGATTTTAATGTAATGCCCTAGAAATGATATTAAATTGCATTTTACGCAATTCCAAACATTTTCAACCATCAATGTTCCAAACATCGATGAGTTTTCCTATTTTAATTCTAAAATCGAATCGAATTCAATATTTGGTTTTAAACAAAAAAAAAAGCAAACTCAAAATCTTCAGTAAACACCTAAATCCTTCTCACCTGTTATAGTTTGAAATAGCCAAAATGAAATGTCCGGCTTGTAATCCGATGTAAAGTGTACCTCTCGTGTCAAACACCGTAGATTCTCTATCGATTGCGTTGAAACATGGTAAAAGTTTACGAGATGACCGACCGTGTGTATCAGCGAGAAGAATAGCGCCGTGCATGCGACAATTTTATGAAATTGGATATGCGAATCAAGCGGAATGTACTGTTGAATCGGAAATTCTTTCAGTTTGGTGAGTAAATTTCGTGACATTGTCAACAATAGCAACGAATAGCAAAATGATAACGATGCAGCTGAGCCACGTGTGATTGCAATGCCAACGCCCATAATGTGTCGCAAATCGGTATGTTCGGACATAAATGAGTAGTGAATGAAGCGTTCAACAAACAGTGCAATAGTTACAATGTAGAAAATAATCAAGTAGAAAATATTTTGGCGATTTTCCTCGACGAATGTTGTGTACGCATCCCAGCGAAGAAGTAACCAGTGACGCTGTGCTTCCACATTCGGTTCGATGTGGAACGATGTCATTCGAGCAACGTTTGTTGAGGTGTCAAGGAAATTCTGTTTGGCACCTTTGCAATCGAGACCAATGGCCACAAAATCTCCTTTGTATTCTTTCATCATCAACTTGAAATCTTGATATGTCAAGTGATTTTTGTGCTCAAGGCCGACGTCTTGGAACATGCCATCGATAACTTTCTTCACTTGATCATCTTTTATGCTGGCCGTTCGTGCAATTTCAACCAGCGATCGCATCATTTCACTGAGCTCCTCTTTGTCAATGACCCCGTTTCGGTCATTGTCACACATATCGAAGATTATACGCAATTTGTCCTCGGTTTTGCCGCGCGAGAACAGAACAACCGTTTCTAAAAATTCTTGAAATGAAATGCGACCATCCTGATCCTTGTCCACAATGTTGAACATTCGACGCACAAACATGTCATCCGCTTTCATTCCAAGTGCCGATGCAAATTCCGCTTTCGATAAACTCGTTCGCATCACCGTCATCACCTCATAATCATTCGAACCGTTCGAATATCGACGACGCTCACCGGGACTATGAAATGAAATTGCCAAATTGGAGAGAAGTTAGTTTCAGTTTATAATCAGAAAATTATTCAAAAATTGGACGAGAAAAAATCCAAGCCATAGAAAATTGCGCCCATACCGTAAACCAAAGGTCAGTGCATACGCTTCACGGAAGAAGTACTCCAATCGCTTTTGTCGTCGTTCTTTTGTTTCCGCATTTGGCAACATAATCTCTGAGTTGATTTCAGTCACTTTCATCTCTTTTTTGTGTAAAGACAAAAAATCTTCGAGTTTCTTCATGAATTTCTTCTGCGATGAAACCGATTCAAACTCCAATACTAAATCGTGATCGTTTTGTTGACGCAGCAAAACATATGAATGTTTTCGTGTGTGGTTTTCCTAAATTACACCCATTTAATAATCATTTCATCATTTTGATGTCTTAATTTTGTTCATATTTACCGATGTTTTTTCCACTGTGATTCCGTCGGTACTCTTCAAATTGAACGTTCTTAACTTTTGCCCTTTGCGATCGACGGTATAAATGGCGGCTTCGGGTCCAAATTTAACAGTGACTAATCGCCTGTGGTTTGCGTGCAACCATTCACGTGCTAACATTTTATCGATTGATGCTTTGTTTTGTGCCGTTCTGAAAAAAAAAGTTAAAAGTCATCCCAGTTTTTTTTTTCGCTCGTCAGTACACTATACACATTAAACATGCTCATTTACAATACCTGAGTGCTTCTTGTTTGACTTTCAGTCGTCGGCGTTTGCTATTTTGAAATTTCACGACTGAATAAGCAGCCAAAATGCCAAGAATAGGAACAAAAGCCAAGAATACACACGAATATGTGAAGCCGAGTTCGGATCCAGAGAAATAGTCGTGCGCTCCTAGATTATTGCACGGCTCGAGTGATGAGGTATTCAATTGGAATGGCTGCGGGCATGGGTCATTCTCTCTGAACATGAACACATCCTTTTGGATTTCGCCCGGGTGAATCGATGTACTGTTGACAATGATGTCCCAAAGTGTGACCTTTCGCAGCTCAGCGATTTCTTCTTTTGTGAAAATTCTGGAACAATGAAAGAAAACTGTTTCGATCAGCAAGCAAAAACAATGGCTTTTGAGTGAAAAAAGGAATTTCTTTTTGTTTAAAACAGAAATTAAAATTTGAAAATAATACGAATCTTGAATTGAATCAATTTCTCAAAAAAAATGAACCAAAATTCATTTTAAATCAAATCCCAAAAATCGTTTACACAAAATCTCACTCACCCGTTGTGTTCATTTTCAAACCAAAATCGATCAGCGTCACGCAATCGTACAAACTGATCCATGATAACAGCTTGAAAGAGTTCACCTGGTTTCCCGTCGGATTCCAACATACCGCCAACATACGCATCTATGTTATCCAGCCGATTGTCATAGGCAGCCGACAATGATTGCTCCAAACCAGGATTTTTATCAAATAAATCCGGTGCAATGTCATGCCAACTGGTTTTTTGTGGTAAGCCAAAGGACGTACGAGCCGAATTGTAATCAGGTAATCCATTGTCTCGTCCACGCATTATGTTCAATGAACCCAGATCGCGACGCGAAAACTCCATCGGCCCAAACAATTTATCTCGAACATCGGAACAGAGCAGAGAATCTTCTCGTTCACAAATTTGCGAACTTACACCCATCAAAATGTCTTCGACTTTCACTTCAGAGAGCACATCCTGTGGAAAATTAAACATTTTCAATGAGAAAAGAATTCATTATTGAAATTTGATTGCAAACAAAATCAAAATCATCCGTTTGTATGCGTTTGTTTCTTAAACCTTCGTGATTCGATTGTGAATAATTAAGAAAAAAAAATGTGAATAAAAACGGGAACGAACCGACACTACATCCATATTTATATTGAATTTAACAAATAAACTGTTATTCGACTAAAACGCAACAAACGTTCGTGTTACTCACATTTGAATTCCACCACGTTGAACAGAGCCGTAGTGCCGGATAGCCGGCCGAAGTGACATGATAGTTGCACTGAGCATCTCGCATATAAATACCGGGTGGAATCAGCGTATGGCCAAATCGAAATGCGGCCGCTTGAAACATGTGGCTAATGCCTGGATGCATATCTGGATTGTATCCTTTGTATGGTGACACTTTTGTTTCCAGCAATGCAGGCAAATATTCGTACAGCAGAATGTTTTGTAGCGAGGCAACCACAATGCGTCGTGCACGTTGGAACACATCTTCATCACTCCACGATGGGTGTTGGTTTTTGATTCGATGGGCGATTACGTTGTGCCATCGTAAAAACACTATTGCAAATGATAGCAAAGCCGGATTTTGATTTGTCCTCGGGTCGCCAAGCACTAAAAATAGATACGTATAGCATTATTTATAACTCAACTTATTTTTTCTCTGTCTAACTCTCCTATACTTCAATCAAAGTCGACATGAACTGTGTTATACCTTCAACTAATTCAAAAGTTATTTAAAATTGAAATCTTACAAAATAATTGTTGGGCATCATTCATTCGCATTTGATGTGGGATGGGATTATTGAACAGAGGTACTCGCATTGTATTCCGTACGGGCATGGTACCGCCTTTTTCAGTGAGCAATGTTCCGTTGACAAAAGAGCGCATTGCATTCAACCAGGTCTCTGAGGTGCTGTACACAAAACTGCCATCAATCCACGAAGTCACCTGATTGATTTGTTCACGTGGTTGATTCGGACTTTGGCCAGTCTCTCGATCGTAGGCAGCACGATGAAATGGAATGTACTTGTCACCCTTGCACTCAGCATCATAGGCATCATCACATTGTTCGATGTCAATCTTGAACACTTCGATCGGACAACCCGATTCGGATGCCATAACAATTTCATTGGTCACAACTTGCCCAAAAAATGCAAATAGTGCCGTTCGATTGATTTTTGATGCCAATCCATCGGAGCCGCGCATAAACAATTGACTGAGACGCCGTGGCGACGGTCGATCGTTCCCATTCATCATGTACACACCGTCCGAATATGAGGCGGGTGCCTTGCGCACCAGGTGACTGTCTGTAAATGGTAAAACTCATTAAATTAATTAGGGTTTGATTGTAATTTTACTAATTAAAATGAATTGATGTTTTTTTTTCCACTCCCTGTGACTTCGTGCGATATAAAAGATGCAAAACAAAAGCCCATAAATGATATGAGAGACACAGAAGAAAAAAATAACACGAAGTGGAAAAAGTTCAATTTTTCAACGTCTATACCTGTTGCTGTGAACTTTACCAGTCTAAATTCGTGCGCCATAAAAGCAAAAGCATTTACTAAACACTCAATCAGTTTCAATCCGAAAATGGAGTCGAATAACTTGCAAAACCACCACTCGTTAAATGAGGCAATTAATTAAGATCAAGATTTTTTTTTTATTTTGCACTCTCCACTCACAAACGACACACAGAGAACATTTAATGAGGCAAATGAGTGAGCGATTGAGCATACGTAGTGCGTGAACTAAGCATCAAATTCAAGCATGACATGCATGATAGATCTATTGAATTGATTTGCGACGGAGACAAACAAACATTCAAATGGCAACAATTTGCTTAATGCAAGAATGTGCAACGTAGTACAGAGCAAAAAAAGAACAAACGGGCGGCTTCACGCATTTGCAGATAGTGACAGAGAAAATCGTGACAGTTGAACTCGAGATCGACAAGTAACAAAAATTGAAAATGACGTGTTTTCAATTCGTGGTCATTAAATCAAGTCTCGGATACATTCCACGCTGCTGAGCTATGAGTCTATGTCCTTGTGAACAATTTCCAATTAAACAAATATCTCGCGATTTGAACAGCAACAAAAACCGAATCGTGATAAAAAAAAACGCATTTAATCCACTCAATCGATGTAAATTGTGTGACTACTTACCGACTGCGCCCCATTCAGGATGTGCCAAGTTATTAAACCATCCATCGTAACGCTGCTTCTCCGTTTGACTTAGAATTTCATCTGAACGAGCGAAATAGAAAGAGAAAAACAATGTTTACAATGTTACACAGTGTTTTTAAGTGGATTTTTGCGTAATAATTGTGATAAAATGCGCCGCATGAATCAATGAAAATATGTTTTAGTGACGGGATTTTTGATCAAAGACAAAGCAATTTTCGCACAAAATATTTATAATGATCGAGAGATGCAAAATAACATTGCGCGTAAAAAATATATAAATACTTTCTGACCTCAATCGAGAGCATAAAATGCAGTGCTCATTGACGATCTCATTTACTCATAGTTCTTTTTTTTTGTTACTTCATTCAATCGAACTCAATTCATTTTCCTTCTTAATTTATTAATATGAATTTAATCGAAAAACTAAAAGACTTCAATATAAATCGGTCGAGTTAATTGAAATGCATTTAAATCATTCTAAATTATTATAATAAAAGATTTCGCGCCAAAATGATTCAGTTGTAAACGATCTACGCATACGCACACGCTTTTTCCAAAACAACAATAAATTATTCGCCCCGACAAAGATAATTGAAAATGACCGCAGAAGCAAAAAAACACACACGACTCAGCCGGAATGAATTATTACATCGAAAATCATTCGACATTTTGCGATAATTTGTAACGTTCAGCAGCAGCAACAACAACAAAAAACAACAGAAACGTTCACTGATTTTTCTACGGTTAATTTATTTGTGTTGATTCATTTCTCTTTTTCTGTTTAGCAGGTGATTTTTTTTCCCTTCGACTATTGCTTGTGCACTGCCCGCCGAAAATCTGTGTTTTTGTATTCGTGTGTGTCTAGAAATAAACGCGTTGTTGTTTGAGCATGACCGCAAATATTTCGAGTCGAATGTTTGAACTAGCAATTAAATCCAAAGTACCGTTTTTGTTCGCAAATTTTTTTCGGTTTTCGTGCACAAACTAAAAATGGTGAAGCTAAACGAACCAGCTAAGCGAGAGAAAACGTGCGAACACATTCCATTGTGTATCTATCTATATTAAGTTTATTCGTTAATTTCAATGTCGCACTATATATTTTAGTCTCTCTTCCAGTCACCTGTTTTGGCAGCTCAAGTCTCTTGTTTCTTTAATTATTTTAATGATTTTGTTGGAGCAATTTAATTTATTGCTTTCATTATTATTATTATGGTTTTCTGACTTTTTCGCCGCCGTATTTTTAGACAGATTCTGGTTTTTTTCGCGTTCGCTCGCATTTTTCGAAAGGTCGACGCTCATATTTACAAATATTTAAATAATAATCCGAAAAAAAATGTTCGATTCAAAACCATGCTCATAAAAACATAATTAATTCAAACAAACGATGATAATGATGATGAACGAGAGAGAGAGAGAGAGAGAGAGAGAGAGAAAGAAAAAATAAAATAAAAATAACATCCAATGTTGATTTTTACCACCAAATACAAAATAAATCAGCGGTAGCACGATCAAAAGCACCTTCACAGCACAAGACGATAGATTTATTGAATGTTTGGTTACATCGGCGAATAGTAGCATTTCTTCGCTGGTACACGCATACGACATCAATCAGCATTTACTTCAGCGCGTTTCGAACAAAAATCGACGATGTCGTTGCAATTATGAATGACATCAGGGCTGCAAGAAATAATAGAGAAAAACACACGATTTTTTTTTAGCAAAACAATACAATTCATATCGTTTGCGGCCGTATGAAAGACCATTGGTCTTAGACTGAACAATTTTTAATTTCAACACTTTTTTTTTTAAATGTTAGCACAACATTTTTTCTTTTTCGTTTTCTTCGCAATTATGTAGACACATCGCACAAACATATCTTGTTGAAAATGAAAATGAATTGATTTTTTTTTTCATGTGGATAGAAAAAACAAAATCACGGATGCTTGAAACATTCAAGTAAACAACTTTGGCTTAAGTAGGCGAACAAGAATTCATACAACAACAAAAAACACACACACAACATCCGTTTAGCATCAGTCGTTGTCTTCTTTCATTTCGAGTATATAAAAAAACAACGGCGATTGTATACGAAAATTAATTTTGCATGGAAATAATGTTGTTTTTCACATCAAAACGGCAACTAAAATGTTTTTAATCGACGACATGTTAAATAGTTGTATGTACAGAAGGAAAAAAATGATTACAAAAGAAAAAGACTTTCGATATTTTGTGCCGTGTGTGAATCACAACACAACAGCCGTACCTGTGCGCGATCGTCGAGGCAATCGTTGAGACTGTGGAACCAAACGTGTTAGTGGTCACATAAAAGACAAGCAATTTTTGTGTTTCGTATTTTAACATGAAAAGAAGTAGAGAAAAATAAAACGATCAAAAGATGAAACACACGAGCCCCACACAAATGAACACAGCGAAATGAACGAACAGAAAAAGAAGAGGAAAGAAAAAAACTTAAGCAAATCTATTCAGCTCTCTCGCTACCGTCTCTCGATACGATCTCACCGAACATGAAAACAATTCACATTGCATACACACACATGCACATCAATCCAATAAACAGGAAAAATATCTCAAAGCTCAACCATACACACGCATTTTTCGTTGAGAGCTACTCTTTCTTCTGCCGTTTTATTTATGTTAATGTTCGTGTTAAGCGTGTTCGGTTCGAAGCTCTTCACCTCACCACAAACCGTTGATGTTTGGCTACGCAATTGCGATTGTGTGCTGGTGTGACGACAGCAACAACAACAACAACGACTACGACAACGACCAGCATAATTGCCGCCATGCCCCGTCTAAATGCTGTTCTCAAACGGTGAAACATACAAAGGCAATCATATGAAAACATTGACATACATTTTTACCGTTCGTCACATCGGTGCAATGTGTCTTGAAATTCGATTTCGGAATCCGGCATCGGTCGTCGGCAGCGGCGGCGGTGACGATTAACATTTTGCTCTTTGTCCATAAATTAAGAGCAAACTTACGTCATTTCTGATTGAAGTCATTCGTTCTTTTTTTTCTTATTCTATTCCTTAAGAGACTCGTGAATATATTTTCTTTTTGTATGGCAATTGTTTGCCGCGCGACGGTTAAAAACCTATGCAAGGCAAAATCAAAGTACAAATACTTTCAATCTTCTTCTTCTTCATCTATTACAAATCAAAGACCGGCTGATGCGTTATCAATCTCACTTTTATTGATACAAAACCGGTTCATGTAGAAACAACGCGCACATTCCCTTTAAAAATTGAATTATTCGTTGAGATTTTCTCAAAGTTTGTGACGATTTTGTGGTCAACATCTGATTTCACATACGTACAAAGTAACGTGAAGGTCATTCAACGAGCGACTAAGATATATCGAATGATTCACACAAAACGTGCAATAATTATTCACCGATAAGCGGATCAAATCGAAGAAGACTTAGATGGAGCAGAAACAACGCATTTACTTTGTTCAATTGACGTAAAAGGCGAATTGAATGTTGTGAGAAAGACCGCAACATGAGCACCGAAGAACGGTTATGCCAAAAGAAAGAAAACGATGAAAGTAAGGTTCTTTACCTCAAATGCCAGTGAGTGCGTTCAATGTTTTGCACGTACACATGACAGTTGGAAAGTTGATATTCCAAGATTGCATACACTCATGCCGTTGTCTCGCTCGCACTCATACAGCATGTGTCATCGTTTTACTTTGCGCTCTTCTACCCATATCACCAAACTTTCCTGTCAATAAAACCAGTGTGTGTCTGCGAATATTTGTTTAGCAGCAAAATATCGCTCGTTTCTTTTACATTTCTGTTGTTTGAGAGAGAAAAAACAACAGACTTGCTTTTATTTGTTTATTTGTTTTTTTTTTTGTTTCTTCTGTATTCTCCATCCAATAAAATTAGCACCGTTATTAACTGATACACACATTTAAAATGCGAAACAATGTGCCCAAGTAAGTCAGTTTTGATTCGATGGACCAACACTTCTGGTGTGTAAAGTCGAAAAAATTCATTGCAAATTCCGTCGAAAAGTGTGTGTGTGTGTCATCGCAGTGCATGCACAGTGTTGTTGTAAATACATTTGCATTGTTCGCATAATTCATCATTAAATAATCGATCGGGAAGAGAAAGAGAAAGAATAAAATCTATTCAAGGATTTCCGTCTTCGCTGGTATTTCAAACGAATTCCTCATTTTGTGTGTGCTTTTTTGTGTGTATTAATTCCATGGAACCATCAAACATCATTCATTCATTGTGACTCATTTTTGTTTTTGGATATAAAAATCAAAACCAAAAACACACACACACACGAACACGAACACGAACAAAAGAAATTCCACATTGTTTTCCATTGATTCATTAATATATGTATAAATTAATTGAATGGATCAGAGTGCTGACGATGTCAACTGATGCATGTAGTACGAACACCAGCGATATGACCAACAATTACCATGCCAATATGAATAATGTTCATAATATTGTGAATAAAAAACGGCATACCAAATATTTTCAACGTTGTTTGGATGTTTTACCACCACGTCTGGCATCGCACGATTCAACAAGGTAAACAAATCAATTATTGGCCAATTTAATTTTCTCGTATTTACAATCGAGAGAATGTGAGAGATAATAAAATCGTATCTTAAGCCGCAATGTAATTTAGATAATTCATCTCTTTATATAGAGTCACATTGGCATTCTTTGCCATATGCGGTTTGGATGTGCTGAACTCATTGGATGTGTTATCGGAGAATCGACGGCGTGAGATATGCGACTGGATTTATCGCTTTCAAATTATCTCGAATGATTCACCAAATTGTAGCGGTTTCCAGGGCTCATCAACACTTAATATTAAAGATGCGGATGCGAGCACATGCGGAAGCGAAAAGTACAAATGGGGCCATTTGGCGATGTCTTATACGGGTATTTCGATGCTAGTGACACTCGGCGATGATTTGAGCCGACTGAATCGTAAGGCGATTGTCGATGGTGTTGCAGCTGTTCAAAGAACAGACGGCAGCTTTAGTGCGTCAATTGAGGGCAACGAACATGATATGCGTTTCGTTTATTGCGCAGCCGCCATTTGCTATATGCTTGACGATTGGGGCTCCGTAAATAAACAATTGATGGCAAATTACATTAAAAATAGTATTGTACGTGATTGTTTTTTTTTCTACTTTGCATTATTACTTTTTTCCCATGGTTGTAAAACGGAATTATGTTTTGATTACAGAGATACGATAGCGGCATAAGTCAACATTATGAGATGGAATCTCATGGCGGAACCACTTTTTGCGCGATTGCGGCTCTTCACTTGAGCGGCCAAATGGATGTGTTATCTGAATCGACGAGGGACAAACTCATTCGATGGCTTGTTTTTCGACAGGTAATTTGACACTAGATTGTATTCGGATTATTCGCTTATATGTGCACCTCTAAGTGCATTTTCAACCGTCACGAATGACACACATAACTTTTTAACGACATCGATTCTTCTTTTTCAAGCAGGAAAGTGGTTTTAATGGAAGACCGAACAAACCAAGCGATGCTTGCTATTCGTTTTGGATAGGAGCAACACTGAAAATCTTGGGCGCATTTCAATTCACCAACTTCAGTAGTAATCGAGAGTAAGGATGACCAATGTTAAACATAACCTTTTTACACAATTTCACACTGATTTTTGACCCACTTCGTCTATTTCATTTTAATGATTAACCCATTTTTTGCCAAGTGTTTGAAAATTCCAACATTTTGTATTGAAAATCGAACGCTTGGCATCATTCAAACAATCTACTTCTCTCATTTTAATCGAATTCCCTCTTTTCTTGCAGATACTTGCTCGAAACTCAAGATGTAATTACCGGCGGTTTTTCCAAGTGGCCAGGATCGTCACCGGATCCATTCCATACTTACTTCAGTTTATGTGGCTTAAGTTTCATCAAAGAAGAAGGTTTGGAAGCCGTAATGCCGAGCCTTAACATATCGCAACGCGCATACGACCGACTCTGTGACATTCAACGCACCTGGAAACAACAGCGAACAAATGATGCAACCGATACAAGGTTAGACATCGAATAAACTACAACACAATTGCTGCACAAATTTTAATGAACGTTTTTTTTTTTTTAAAGAATTGTACATTATTTTTTATTGCAACAATTTTTTTTTCTTTGCGCATACAAAATAGCATTTTACTTTGAAAATTATTTTCTACGAGATATAAAAATGAATATATATGAAAAATATTGTGGATATTTATGAAATAAATGAATATTCGAATACGAGAACAAAAATAATACTGTTTGATATATAATAATATGAATATTTGTCACTTATAAAATCTAAGCTTTTCGTCTGTAACACATGCAAATGCATGGTTTTTTTTTGGCAAAGTCAGGAATGTTCTACTTGGAACCAATGTATCCACTGCAGTTTGCAGATTCGCAGTAGCACGCTTGGGCATCCTTTCTGCAAAAATAAAAATGGGACAGTATGAGTTATTGTTCGATTATTATGAAGGAAATGATTGAATTTGAAATCGATTCGATAGATTATTCAAATACTTGTCGATTTAGCTTCTTTTCAATAAACTAATAATGTCAAAATGAAGCCAAACCAAAACGACAACAATGAAGAAGAAGGAGCAAGAAATGAAATAAAAACAACTGATACGCGCTAAATTGACAAAGGAAACTTACCCGAACCGTTCAAACTGGTAGTTTATTGAAATTTCTTCGAATTGCTGGATGGGCCGTTTGCTGAAAATACCAATTCGGCACTCTCCGTTGACCGTCCACTTTTGAGTTTCAGCATTTGGATCGCACGAATGATTAACGAACCGTGTGAGATTGCCTTTCTGTGTCGCATCAATCAGATGATTACCCGATGAAGTCATTACGTAGCAATGACGAAGTTTTTTCTTCTCATATTCTTTGCTCCGTCGTTTGAACTCACTCATGGCAACCACCTCGCCAACAAATTCCATGATGAATTTGTTTTTTGGAATGTGCGTCGATGCAAACAGTCCGTATCCTTTCATTTCGGTGATGAACACAGCGCATCGTGCATTTTCGTACTTTTGAAAGCGTTGATTGCTGCACATTGGCCCAAGTGGACAGTCCTGGTCACATTCAATGGACATTACACGATTCAAACAATCACTGCCACAACCCTTTTCGCCACGTGCCACTTGTTCAGGTTTCAGAATGCAATCGCAACCAATGCCAATGTCATCACTGCTTTTCTTCTTGTGCCGTGCCAAATGCTCGTTGTTCTTGATATATGTGAACTGCATGATTGCTCGTTGATAGTGAACGTTGTCGAATTCTAGCTCGAATTCATTTTCCGATTTTGTTGGCTTTTTCACGGGGCTACTCTTCACCGGCAAATTGTTGTTGAACCAATCAAAATTGATTTCAAGCGTCTTTCGGCGTTCCTCACGCTCTTGAATTCGATTCGAACGTCTGCGGCTCATCTTGTTCACGTGTGAATCATCAATTTTTAATCGTTCCAATCCCGCCAGGACCGATTCGTCATCGGTATTGGTATCTCTTCGGTTCATTTTGGCTGTGATCGATATATGCAAACAATGGAACGTATTGTGAGATGACCGCTTGCAAAAACAAATTATAAACAGTGTGTATTTTGAATTTGACAGCTGTCAATATTACGCGCTATCTCATATACATGCATACCAACACAATTTTACACCGAACCGTTGAGGTTATGTTCTAAAAACAGACAAATCTTTTGACAAATACTTTTTCATACATGTTGTGTAGTTTTCTTTCTTCACATTTCGTGAACCGAATTATTGAAATAAAATAAAGATTTTGTCAGAATGCGGCTCACACAAACTCTGTTGAAAGCACGATGGGACAAACAAATCGGTGCTGTCGGTGAGATGACCGAAAAATATTCAAACTTACCAAAATCATACATTCGACGAGCCATGAGACAGGTATTTGATATATGTTCACCCAATTGGGTGTAGAAACAGTGACTTTAATTCAGATAAAATGTTTGTGATATAGATTGAGTGGCAAACACCAAGAGGCAATCCACGCTACTTACCCAGAACTATCGAAAAGCAAAGATTCATATTCACTACCGCCCGACCGTGGACGCAACAATTTTGGTTTGATAACGCACCAGGCAAACAGGCTAAGAAAGTGTTTGTTGAACCAATCGGTAAGAGAAGACAGTTGTTTTTTTTTTATTAAAGTGTTATTTATATTTCGATTAGTTGAACAAGTCAAATGAATCCATTTCAATGGAAAACGTTCTCTGTTTGAACGATGTTTACTTTATATTAACACATGAAAATTGGAACTTTCTTCAGAAACATGGAGTTGGTTCCGTGGCGATCGTGTAGAGATAATGACTGGTCCGGACAAAGGCAAACAAGGAATTATCAATCAAATCATCGAAGAGCGAAATTGGGTGTTTGTTGAAGGATTAAATTGGAAATATATCACTTATGGCAAAACGAAAACTTTCCCCGGCATTGTTATGAGAGAAGAGAGACCGTTATTGGTAAGCAAAATGAATTGAACTGTTGAAATTAACTTGAGAATTAGGTTTTAATCTATGGTATTGAGTTAAGCACATTTCTCATGTTCAAAAATTGACCAATCACTTATTGCAAATCATTCATCTCTGTTTGCTTAGGTAACAACGGAAATAAAATTGGTGGACCCAGCTGATCTTCAAGCAACAGAATTTGAGTGGCGCTATTCGGAAGATGGTGCAAGAATTCGCGTTTCTTTGCGTTCGGGACGTGAAATTCCAATTCCAGCCTCAAATGAAGAAACTTATGATTACAAAACTAAATCAAAATATTACGAACGTGAAAAGGATACATTAGCCGAAGACGTGGAGAAAATCACTTTTTATCCAAAGTTGAAAACATTTGAAATGGAAATTATGGATGAGATGGGCATCAATGAAGACCGAGTGCCAGCCAAAACTTATTGGTATTAATTGTTGTGCAACAGAATCTTTCTGTATTTCGAAATGATTGATTAGAGTAATAAAATTGAGTTTTAAAGGAAGTAAAATTGGCTGAGAGTTCATTTCAACAGGAGAAATACTGTATCTATCTCTGAACATCATCTATAAAAGTGTTCTCATTTAATCCTTGGTTTGTATCGAAGGAAACTAACCCATATCGTTCAAACTAGTAGTTTATTGATATTCATTTGAATTGTTGGATGGACCGATTGCTGAAAATTCCGATTCAACACTCTGTGTTTCTGCATTCGAATGGCAGCAATGATTACCGAAACGTGCTTGATTGCCTTTTTGTGTCGTATCAATCAGATGGTTGCTAGACGTATAGTAGTCATTATGTAGCAAAGACAAAGTTTTTTCTTTGCTCCGCAATAATCGCTGAAATGATTACCTTTTGCCCTTCTAAATAAAGTAGAACAGCTAGCGGTGTTTCCATCGGTATATATTTATAATATAGTATACATATATATTTCCAATATGAAAATCTTAAATAAAAACATTGTTTCTTTAGACATAGATTGCATATAGCCTTTTGTTTTCGCAATTGTATCTCTACCACTATAAATACGAGTTGTTTGTAAATGCCATTAAATGTAATTAGCTCAAAATCCTGTATGATTGATTACTTCGGATTGGTATTGCCAGTCATGATATTTGATGTGGGGCTATCCAATTTGCTAAAATCTAAGCTAATTCGGCCGGTGCTAGATAAAGGACTTGGTAGAGTTTTTGGACGTAAACTTGGTGAGACCTGGTTTTGTTCCTGTATTTTGGATGCAATCATGCCAATTCGGAAAGAAAATAGCACCAGAGAGAAAGAGTGTGTGTGATTAGTATTGCATTTGTTGATTAAGAAAAGAGAACAAACACAACTACGTTTCTACGTTTAGGTACGGTAATTTCAAAGCATGCTAGTGCCGAGTGCGGTTGGTGATTAGAATCGATCTACGATAACAAGTATGGGTGCGGAACTACAGAAAGTGGAGGGTGGAATATGCAAATGCTACGGGTGCATTTAACACACAACGGAATGGAATACGAATAGAAAACGGATCAAACCAATGAATTATTTGATGAGTGTGTCGACTGTGATGTGTATGATTGAAATGTTGGTGTATCACGTTTCGATGATGCAACTTTCTCCTGAATTGAACTGATGGTTTTTGCGAGCCATGGTTGCCAACTATTGCGATTACTTGCGCTTTGTATTTCGGCGATTAATGTGTTCATCTGATGGTTTAAATCTTGGTTGCAGCATTGAGATTCGACTAGTTCGAGTTTTGTTTGAGCCAAACCCAGTTCAAGCTCTTTAATTTGCTTCTTTGCATTCTCCAATGGATCCAGTGGACCCAAATTGTTAAGCGGTTGCTTTGCACCCAACTGTTCACTCTTTTTACTCAGCTCAGACGACGGATCCACATCGTTCGTTGAACATGTTGTACATTTTGCAGCCTTTTCCTGGAAATTTGAAAATCAAACACGTTAATTCAATGGAAAAATCGAACAATTCCAAATATTTGTTCAGTTTTCGCAAAAATTTGCATAAGACCTACAGTCAAAGCTGTCAACAGATCACTTAGCTTGGTCATTTGCTGTTCCTGTCGTTGAATAATCTGTTTATAGTCATCAATTATTGTTTTCTTACGTTCTTCTTCAAGCTTATTCTTATCTTCTGCTTGCTTCAATTTGATTTGAAGCGTTGTAATTTCCGTTTTATACTTATTACGTTCTTCTTCGAATCGAAGTTCATATTCTTTCATGGCAGCTTCTTTCTTTTCGGCCAATTCTTTTTGTGCCAAAAATTCTTCTTCATATTGCTTTAGTTTCTTAACTTTGCGTTCGCATGCCTTTTTCATAAGTTTACGTGCCAAATTTGTGCTACGACAACGTTTCGGTAATGTAACCCGGAAATACTTGAGTATTCCCTCAAAATCCAGTGTACGCAGTTCACTTTCGAATTCATTGAGCAGTGTCACTGCAATCTGGAAGAGGATTTGCATTCCATCAAGGAAAAAAACGTCTAAAATGTGAAAAACTAAATAAAGTGGGAAGCGCGCGGTGAATAACGTTAAAAACCATTGGCTAGCAAACATGTGCGTTTCAACTCCATTTTGCTCGAAATGCTCGTGCAACTTTGGCAATTGATCCTTCATTAAGCGATTTAATTGGTACAGACGAACGTAAAGCATTTCAAAGCCATCTTTGTATAAATCACGCAAACGATATTCGTACATTAGTTGCACTAAAACGCAGAAAGCTTCTTCTTCTGGCATCTAAAGGCAATGAAAATGGAATGATTTTTTCATTAGAACATGAATTCCAACCCATAATAATAATTCAATATGAATCAAATTCAGTTCCACTTACGTGAAGCAATAAACTGGCCGCAATAAAAGTTAAACCTTGACAGTATCCGACTTCATTGTCGTAGACAGCATACGCTTTGGAAACTTTAAAGAGAGCATCTTGTCCAGAACCGCCGATTTCCTTGAAAAATTTATTCGCTGGAAAGGTTCGATTAATATCACGCTGAATGACATTTTCACAGTTGGTTTCTTTTGTTAACAGCATACGATATGCATCAATTAAATCAGTATTGTTCTCCACACCAGACAAACGTTGCCACATTTTATCGCGGAGTTTCTCTGGAATGCCCATCCGAACTAAATGCGGTAGATTCTTTGGTCGTTTCCCTTCCCAATCTTGTGTCATGATCGGATACCATTCTTCGAGTACATCTTGTGGACAATCCTGTGGAACTTCTCCGGTGCCACTAAGTAGCGGTTCATCACCATCTGAACTATAATCACCCGGGCTTTCGTCTTGTTCAATGGAAATGGTGCTAGTTGATCGTACCAATTTGAAGCCCCAGTTTTTTAGAATCGATGATGGTTGTGCGTATGTCGAAGTGGTTGGCTCGACAATTTCATCCGATGGATCAATTGAGCTAACCTCCCAACCTCCATCACCGCTGTCTTTCAATTGCAAATAAAATCGTTGTGACATCGATTTTTTGCTACTAAATACGTCCATCAAACGCATCTCGTTCTGTGATTGAATCATTACCGCTGTTTCGATAACAAAACGAACCGGCTCTTGAATACCACGAATTACTAAATCAACGGCAACTGTTATACTCAGTTTGGTCGACTCAACATTCAATTGCTCAAAGTTTTTGTCGTTAGCCTTCCATTCGGATCGAATCATATACGATGAATATGGCGTTGGATTGCTTGTCGTTAGATTCTGACTGAATTGATGCTCGGTTTTGTTGTAGCCCATTGAGACCATATCAAGTAATTGCATGTCAGCTTGACGCAGTAATTTGCCTGGATTCAACAAAACCCCAAAACATCGTTCGATGTATAACATTGGCAAATTCGATGGTGGCGTTTGGTTCACCGTAATTGTGAGCTCTTTGTCTGTGTTGGCTCGCAGTTTGAAACCGGATCGATCTCGTGGCACAGCACTGTATGATGTTTTGCCCATTTTCTCACGAATTTGTAGCGAAACAATGAATTCATATCCAGCCGAATTGATTGGATTGCCAGACACATCCGATAAAATGGATGAAGTCATTGCGTTGTTAAAATCACCAACACCAGACACCAGGCTCACTGTCATGCTTGCCGACATTGGCGGCTGAAATGCTTTCGAGAAACAACCTGCAAAATGTTTTTCAATTGGAAAATTGATTTGATTTTTCTTTCTATCACACGATAATTCAAATGAAAGTAGAAATTGTCATTTAAAAGAGAAAATAGAAAGGACACACTTACTGCTAACTTGATTAACAGCCTCTGGAATATTGCATCGGAATATATGGCAATGGAATAACGGGCTCAATTCATTTGCTTCTCCCGTTTGGAACGTAAATGCAAAGCATGCTTGGTCAGGGCTACCAGTAGGACCACGAAAATAGAAAATGATACGACTCACTTCATATCGATAAATAACGGCTTTCGTATCGCTGTCATGCAGCCTAAAAAAAAACAACAACAACATAAAACGCGATAAACACCAAATGTACATTTACAGTTGTTTTTCATCACAAAACGAAGCAAATACTTACACAACATATCCTTCAGAGCAAGACGGAATGCTTACTGACACTTTCATGCCATTTGACTGTGAATGTGAGTTCATTTCATTGATATTTCGTAAAATTTCATTTTCCGATTTCGGAGCGTTTATTTTGGCCGAACCGAGATACGTAACTCCAGCAAACTCTGTACAATCTTGATCAATATCAGACACTGCGACAAAAAAATAAACAAAACATTTGTTTCAATTCGATTCGACGTAGTAATTCGATTGGAAGGTAAAATAAATGCATAATTTAAAATTAAATTGAATTTTTCATCACGATACCCATCGATTGCCGTTCGAAATTGATGAACAGAACACAATAATAATAAAACAGAAACTCCTACTAAAAATGAATGAAAAAAAAGGTGTTGGCTTACTTTCATCATCGGTGTCACTTTGTTCGGGCTTCATGAAATCCTGTTTTTCAGCGGTTGGACTGAGCTCGAGGCAGTCATAGAACACCGATTGTCCGACTTTATTCATGTCGCTCTGTTTATTCGCCGCTGCGTCCGGTGAATTTGCTTGAGGTCGGCCTGTCTCCAGCGACAGCGGGTCACCAACTATTACTTTATTCGTATTGCTTTCATCCAGTTTATTAGCAGCGCGTCGAGTATCTGTGTGTGCATAAATTGATAAAGAACGAACAAAACGAAAAAATAGTTATGAGTAATAATTCTTGGTGTCACCCACTCAAATTTACACAAAACAATTTCTGAATAGAAACATGTGTTTACTTGCACACAACAGCAGAAACATTTTCAATATCTTTCAATGACTTTTGAACGACTTCATTCGATGAACAACGTCATCGGTAATTTAATTAAAAGACTGTACTGATTTTACTGGTGATGCACGACAGTTCTGGTCGTTGTTGTACAAGAACAAAAGAAAATTGTGTTATCGTAGTTCGTGTCGAAGTGCAGTGAATCTTAGGAAGCGAAGCAGTGTAATGTCAATGCTATTAGGTTTTGTTGTTGGTATTTCTACACCTGCTGCACACTCAGTGGTGAGTGGTGTGACTGTCATTTGAAAATCACCGTCCAAAAGATCCCGTTCGACTGAATTGATTTGGGATATTTTTTTTCGGTTCAACAATGGTGTGTGTGTGTGCTCAGTGCGTGTGGTTCGTCGTTCATCCGCAATCATTGATTGCCAATCACTGTATATACAGATGCGCTTGTGTTTTGATTTTATTTTCCCACTGTTTCTTATACTGTTTTTTTTTGGTTCTTACTGTGCGATTAAAAATATACATTTCAGTTTGTTGACCAAGCAGATCGTTTCACTGATTTGTTTGATTTATTTTCATCTGTCGAAAAAAAATAAGGCTCATTTGTTTCTATGTCAACACTTGAAACATATTAACACCGTGACTTATTCGCATTAAATGAACGAATGTATGTTAGTTTGCTCGCACTCAATACATGATGGCATTGAACGAATTTGTTTTTTTTTTTCTTCTGTTTGGTGTGCGATAATCGAAAATGAGACCGAATTTCTTTTTCAAATGGAACGATAAAAATCAATTTACAGTTGCTTTGCAACAATGATCCATAAAAATTAATGAGTTAATTTACGTGGCATTTACCCGTTTCAATGTTCGATTGTCCTGTGAGTGTAGTGTCTATGTCAGCCATGGTTGTTGCTGTTGTATTGTCCAGTTCATGAATGACTTCGTCCAAATTTTTCTCCAAATCGTTAAAATTACCGTTGTTTGCGATATTCAGTGTTGGTGATGTACCCAATTGCGTTGTGTCTAATTCTTCGGGTACAATTTCATATTCACCGCTTGTCGTCACCGAATCAGAAGATTTAATGCTTAGTTTGTCATCCATCGCGCACTTGCAAAGGCATACATGTGCGCTCAATTAACGCCGATCCAATTCAGTCTTTGATGTGTGCGATTCTCGGTATTGTCGGTGTATTGGCAATCAATATTTTTTTTTCTTTCGTCTGTTCTGCTCTTTCTATCACTTTCGCACCAACGTGTTATTGGTGCAATTTGAAAACAGTTGTCGCTTCCTATTCACATGAACGGTATAACCGTGAATATGTTTGTTTTATTGCTTGTGTCGATTTCTATCAATAATTTTGTTTACTTGGCCAAAACATCCATTGAATAATCGTTCGTTCCTTTTATTTACAGCTGTTTGTACGCGTTTGTATTTAATACACACACTTTGTTTATCATTTTTGTTCGTGGCCTTTGTTTTGGCTTCTTTGTCTCTGTTCTCTTTTTTTTGCTACTTTTTAAACTTTTTATTGATGATTGCTGTGTTTTGATCATGGAGAGATTACTTTCAATTCGTCGTTATTTGCGAGTCTGCAACGAAAATGCATTCACATTATGATTAATGGATTTTTTTTTTGCTCAAAAACATATTCATCATCATAATCATGTTTTTAGGTATTCAATCATCGTTCTTTGATAAGAATCGTGAATAATTGCGACGCCCATAAAAAATGTAAACGTTTTGGACTTTTCTTGCCATTATTTTTAATTCGCTTTGAATTATTGATATATATTTTTTCTGCGGTTACAACCACAAATTGCACACAGAATTCTAATCGAATTTCAAACTGGCGACAAAATAAACAATTCATTGCTTTGCAGACAGTGTTTTATATGGTAAATCGTGTTCTTTGTTCATTCTGTCAAAACTCGGCTCAACTTTCCATTAAATCGATCCGCTTACGATCGAAAATCAACAATATCTTTGTAAAAATCGCTAAAATTCCATACGATTGAACTTTAAATATTTGCCAAAAATAGTCGAAAAGCATTTACTACTTGTATTGACCGTATAGTTTCTGATTCACTCAAAAACCAGATAACAAAACTGGAAACTTCAATACTCTGTTTCTCTCTTGTGTGCTCACATTTTAGATGTTGTTGTGTAGGAATTGTCATTGAAATGTCAAATTCCATGCATTTTTTTCCACAATACATTTACGGAAATTATCATACGATATTATTTATCCTTTGTGTTGGCGATGGATGAAAAAGCCTTCGACCGATTGCATATTATGCTCAACGGTGAACTATGGCACAGAGGACATTGCACCAAATACAGAACGAACGAAAAAAAAAATCAATCAAATGAGTGTTGCCAATTAAAATGTCACTCGTTGTATCCATACACAGACTGTGTGAATGGCAATTAGAGTCTTTGTTCACTCAAATTGACCCGAATGTTTGAACCACAGAACTTCTTCTTTTTTCTTCTTCTTCAAAGAACACTGTCGCGTCAATTGAATGGCGATTTTGTTAAAACACATACCAAATAAATATGAATTAAAACAATCTTTGAGATGACGAAGAGAAAAAAAGATTCAAATTTGCATGCACTAGGTCAAGCTGATGAGTAAGTGAAACTCAGTTTACATTTTTACACGAATATAAGCGTCAAATCAAAAACGCACCACACAATAACACACAACTGGAATGAATTGTATGGATGGTGTGCAAATAATTATTCATCACAATCAGTACATTATTCACATTGTATTCAGAGACGCAACGAAATGAAATAAAAGAGAGAAAAATTCTCTTAGATGAGCATATCGATTGTACGTTTGACTAGCACAACACAAACATTGACAATTGCGTCGCGTCCACCAATCACCACAATGCAATCAACGACATCTAATGTCGTTTGCTCGAAACGACAGCTGCATGAATTATGTACCCTTCATTCAAATCGATGACAATTATGAAGTGACATTAACCAACCGCTCAGTGGTATGAGGTGCACGATAATACGCGAATGTCTTGTGTAAATAGAAGTTTCCAATTAAAATTGAACAAAAGAAAGGTGACATTTAAAATTGAAGCAACAATTTTGTTGGAAGAATTCACAGGAAAAAAAAGGTAAGTACATTCGTTTCATTTTTCATTGAAACTAACCGATATTCCGATCGGATTGTATGCTAATGTGTTGAAAATTTTAAAGTCAAATAACAAATGGATTTTCAAGTGAGAGCAGTCAATATGTCAACAATGCCTAAAGCAGTTAGCGCCAACCTTAAAATACTAATAAATTTCATATTGTTTCGTTAATTCGACTGTATTCGCCATGCACATACACACGGCATTCGTGTGTACGCTCGAGTGAGATAGTGTGATTTGTTGTTGTTGTTGTTGTTGTTGTGTGTACTGTGTTGTAGTGTACCTTAGCTACGTTCGATGCGATTTTTGTTATGTTAATGTTGCTCCGGACGCGAGAGAGCGAAAACCATAATTTATTTTCCTCAGTTCGATGGTGTGAGAGAGACTTGCATTCATAGCATTTCTAACCATACAACGAAAGAGATTCGTTGTTACAACTTGTGTTTCTTAAGTGCACACACAGTGATGTAATTAAATTTCAATTAAACCAAGAATTTGCGGTGTAATTTTTTATTTAATTTATTAATTGAAATATTTAGTTGAAAAGTTTGGTGTAGAAATTTCGAAAAAAAGACGACAAATTAAAAAAAAAAAACGAAGGCGGCTGTGAAGACGACGACGACCGCGGTGGCAACAACATAAAATCCGATGTTTTTTCTTATTTTCGGGTGATTTCAGACAAACCTCTTGTCAATAATACAATTAACGTGTGTAGTTGTAAGACACAGACACACACACACATATTAGCGTCCATCGATCGCAGGTGAGAGAGTGACTGAGACGCCACTATTTTAAGTTAATCGCTTTTGAAAAACTATTCTCTCTGTGTCCGTCTGACAGTCGAGAGTGTGTACGCGGATTACTCAAGTGTATATGCACGGTGGAATAGTGAATTATACAAACAACGATTTTGTTGGGCGTTGACCGCTCGATTTTCATCGATTTCAGCGTAAATTCATTTTTCATGCGTTCGCAACGAACGTAATCGATCAGTTTGCTAAATTCTTTTTTTTTTCTTGGTGCAATTTGGGAACAAAAAAACTCGGTAAAAATTCATTGGAGTTTGTTTTGTGTATTTGTGTGTGCGTGTGGAATTAAGAATGCTAATGGTATCGTGTTTGTGATTCACCTGTGGAATGTATCATCAGAGTAGACTATATTTGGGCGTGGGTTGTGATAAAAACACAAGACACAATTAGAACCGATCACCGACGAATCCATCTGCGCATTCTTTAATTTGAATTTGATGAAAATAAATTTTGCGCTTTGTTTCGCAGAACGGAGAATGCGATTATTCGATGCGCTCGCAGCGAGCAAATCGATGAAATATGGTTATTTTGCTCACCCCAAAATCCGATCATATTTCAAATGTTAAACACTAATTACCATTTGTGTGTTCCCTACATATATATATATACATATACATTTTACGGTGCGTGCTACGTTGTGAGTCTGTGTGTTGAGGAGAGAGTGTGTGCGCTCACCGTTCTTACCGAAAATAACACACGAACGAACAGTTAGATGAATGAATGGTTGGATATTGTGTCGAGTGGCAGCAGACGTGCGCATTTTAGTCGCATTTGTAGTTGTTTATTGTGACATATGCGACTTCGTTCCTGTATCTATATCTCTACCACTCCAGAGCATTAGGCCTGGATGAGCATGTGTTTTATGAGTAACAGTTTTTATTTTGTCTGTTCTGTTTCATTTCCCTCTCTCAATCTCTTCGCCGTGCATTGTTATTATTGTTTGGGCTCTGTGTGCAGCTTTGTGTTTTTCGTACTTTTTTTTTCTCCGTCTATTCCGTTTTGTAGTATTGCACACTCCCAAAAACGGCTGCGATTACGATTATGACCGTGCTGCACATTGCACATGGACACTGCCATTTTTAATAGCCTGACGAGTGTTCTGCATTCTTTGCCTCTTTTTACATCCGTTCGTCCGTCAGCAGTGATGACGGCAAAGCGAAAGATTTTTATGTTTGTAATTTAAATTAACGATAAACCAATAAAATAGAGCCAAGAAAAACAATGCGATCGGTTGTTGTCATAGCGAAACGATATAAATAAATGTCCGACTCAGCGCGTTATTCAATACGCACATTTTTTTTTCTGTTTCAAGTATTTGTATACACATTCTTTTTTCGGCTTCGCTTCGAGCACATAGTATTCGATTTCAATTTCAATTGCATTAGGCCGTGGAGTAGAAAAGAACAGACACACAGAGTAGCTTGTGCATTCGGTTTATTTTAATTAGATCCAGTTGATTGAGCAGAGTGCAGTTAAGTGTGAAAGTGGAGAGTGTATGTCTGTCTGCCTGACTGCCTCTGTTTTCCCTCTTTGTTTAAAATTCAATTCTAAAAATAATAATTATCGATTGATCCGGAAATTGATATTTGTTCTTTCATTTTTCGCTGTTTGTGTAATTCAGTGCGTTTTCATTTTTTTTTTTTTTGTGAGAGTGTTACTTATACCGTTATTTTTCTATATTATTCTCTCATTTCATTCCGCAGGGATCGAATTTAGCTGGAACAATAAACAATTTAACACCACACCACAATGAGGCTACCGTTATGGTCCTCGAATCGTTTCGTCAGTATTACACTGTGTGTAATCGTATTGACTAGATGGAGCACAGCTCAAAATGACTTCAGCAATGATATAAACAATCAACAGAATCCATTTGATGTTTCCACGCCGTCGCCACAAGGCGATCAAGCCTATCGAAATCAATTCAATCAGAATCGCGACTATTTCGGTAACAACGATGACTTTTTCGGCAATGGACGAACATCGACACCGAGAAACTATGATCCATTCAGCAATGATGCGAATAATCCAAATAATCCAAACTATAATCGCGATTCGTTTAAATCGAATCAAGATCCGTTCAATTCGAATCGAGATCCATTCAACCCTAATCCAAACTATGGCACGGGCGATGTAAACCGGGACCCTTTCGGAAACCGCAATAACTTTGGCAGTGGCGTGAACAGCAATGATGACAGTCGTTACTATAGCAACAACCGGAATTCATTCGATACATTTGGCAGGCCTGTCACACCGGCCACTCCCCCAACAGATTTTAATCGTGGTCGTACGCCGTACCGAACCAACAGCTTCTTGGAAATGGTTGCAAATAATCTATTCAACGAACCAACATATTTTATCGTCGCATCACGAATGGTTCGCCCCGGCCAAGTATATCGAGTATCGGTGCAAGTGCTCATATCGCAAATTCCAATCACGGTGCGAGCGTCAATTTCACGCAGTGGCGTCGAAATCAGCGGCGATACGAAAGAGATTAAAATTGGCATACCAGAAACAATGCTGATGAGAGTGCCACCGACGAGTGTGCCGGGCGATTATAAGCTTCGCATTGAAGGTGTCTATGCACAAGCCTTGGGCGGAATTGCATTCATCAATGAGACTCGATTGACTTTCTCGCAACGATCCATGACGATTTTCGTACAAACCGACAAGCCCGTTTATATGCAAGGTGAAACTGTGCGTTTCCGTGCCATTCCAATCACAACTTCACTGCGTGGTTTCGATAATGCAATCGATGTTTACATGATTGATCCGCATAAGCACATTTTGCGTCGTTGGCTGTCTCGTCAATCAAATTTGGGCACGGTTAGTTTGAAATATCAACTGTCCGATCAGCCAATTTACGGCGATTGGACGATTCGTGTGGTTGCTCAAGGTCAAGTTGAAGAGCATAAATTCAGCGTTGAAGAATACTATCAAACGAGATACGAGGTGAACGTTACAATGCCCGCATTCTTCTTCAACACCGATCCATTTATTTACGGAAAAATCATGGCTAATTTCACGAGCGGGGCACCGGTCAACGGAAATTTAACGCTCAGATTAACAGTTCGACCACTTGGTTGGCACAATCCGAAGGTTATCAATCAAAAGTATCGTGTCGGTAACACTGGTCCGAGAAATTTACCCGATTACAATATCGACGAACAATATTTATACAATCCGAATATTAATTTCAACTATGGCCAAAATTTTGATCCACAACAAGCTATCAATCAACAGAATCCACCGCCACTTGACCAATCGTATTCAGCACAGCCACCACCATCCGGTTACTCATTCCAGGATCAATACACCGTCGAACGTTACTTCAACTTTGACGAAGAGTGGCCATTCTGGATTAAAAAACCCGACAATCAACAAATGTATGATCCTTGGACCAAAGAATATCACAGCTCTTTGCCATACTTGCGTTATTTCAACGGAACTTACGAATTCCGATATCCAATGTCCGAACTGCAAACTCTGATGCCATCGACGCAAGGATTTGAGGTACTTATCACAGCCACCGTCGGCGAACGATTCTATGATGAAGTGATTCAAGGTTATGCAATGGCTCGTGTTTACAATTCATCGATTCGTGTACACTTTTTGGGCGGTTCGCCACAAGTGTTTAAGCCAACAATGCCGTACATGCTTTACTTGGTTGCTCAATACCACGACGGATCACCATTGTACTTTGATCCATATTTCCCGGAGACGATGGAAATTACCGGTTTTGTGGAGAGTCGATCGGGCGGTCGTCGTGATTATCCGCTTCGCAATTTGAGAATGTCCGACAAGGCAGGCATTTGGGAAATGAAATTGGATCTACGCAATGATTTGAACATTGCTGATGATCGTCAGAGTCATGAGTTTTTAACTGATGTTCAACAAGTGCATTTAACGGCCAATTTCATTGATCGACGAGGCGAACGAGCTTCGGCTGATTTACTTTTGGCTACACACTTTTCACCGCAGAATCATCAAATTAAAATCCACACCAGTACACATAATGCTAAAGTCGGCGAGTACATCATACTTCATGTGCAAACGAACTTCTTTGCAGAATCATTTAATTATGTGTTGATGTCAAAGGGAATTATTTTGTTGTCTGGTCAAGAGGAGATGACAGAAGGCATTCGAACAATGGCAATTACTCTGTCGGCTGAAATGGCACCCGTTTCAACGTTCGTCGTCTGGCACATTGGTCAGCATGGAACAATTGTTAGTGACAGTTTGACATTCCCCGTTAATGGCATTTCCAGAAATAATTTCACTGTTTATATCAATAATCGCAAAGCACGTACCGGAGAACGAGTTGAAGTGGCCGTATTTGGTGAACCGGGTGCATATGTTGGTCTCTCGGGCATTGACAATGCATTTTACACGATGCAAGCGGGCAATGAGCTTACTTATGCCAATGTCATTACAAAAATGAGCACATTCGACGAACAAACCAATGGAACACACAAACAAACATGGTATTCACACGAGGGTAACCCAGACGAACTTGTTTATTATCCATCGGCTTCGTTTGGTATCGATGCTAATCGCACATTCGAATATGCTGGTCTGGTGATTTTCACGGATGGCATTGTTCCACGTCGTCATGAATTCTGTAATGCAACCCTTGGCTATGCAGAGTGTTTGAGCGGCCGTTGCTATAGCATTCAAAAAGTAAGTTAATTGAAATATTAAAAATCTGAGCTTTATTCATTCAAATTCATTTTAATTTCGATTATTCATTAATTTTATCTTTTTCATCATGATCGAATATATAAGGTTTTTTTCTAAATTGTCTCCCTCACACTGTTTCTTATGTCTTGCATATTTATTTTATATTATTTTCTTTACTTTTCTTCCCATTTTTGTTAGCGTTGTGATGGATTTATAGACTGTGACGATGCAACCGATGAGTCAAATTGTAATTACAACAATTTCACAACAGTCGCAGAGTTCAGAAAGTATCGATTCAACCGTATAAAGCGGCATTATGAAAACGTTTGGCTATGGAAGGATATCAATATTGGTCCACACGGACGCTACATTTTCTCGGTGGATGTGCCTGAAATTCCAGCTCTGTGGATGGTATCAACGTTTAGTGTCAGTCCAACGATGGGCTTCGGAATGATTAACAAAGCCATTGAGTATGTAGGCGTGCAGCCATTCTTCATCAACGTGGAAATGCCAACAGATTGTCGACAAGGCGAACAAGTTGGTATTCGTGTGACCGTGTTCAATTATCAAACCACAGCCATTGAAGCAACAGTTGTTTTGCATGGTTCACCCGATTATAAATTCGTTCACGTCGAAGAAAACGGTATCGTTCGTTCATACAATCCGGTCACCTCATTCGGCGAACAACAGTTCTTCATTTATCTGGATGCTCAAGGCAGTACAATTGTTTACTTGCCAATTGTTCCACAACGATTCGGTGACATAGAAGTAACCGTTCACGGTGCAACACTCTTGGGAACGGACACAATCAAGCGAATGATTCACGTTGAACCGGATGGTGTTCCGCAGCATCGTCATCAATCGTATTTATTGGATTTGAGTAACCGTGCGTATGTGTTGCATTACCTACATGTCAATGTCACTGAAACCCCACTCATCACGTACGATGTGGATCGTTACTATGTTTTCGGTTCGAATCGTGCCCGCATTTCGGTGGTGGGTGATGTGGTCGGACCGATTTTCCCAACAATGCCAGTCAATGCAACAAGTTTAATCTACTTGCCAATGGATTCGGCCGAACAAAATATGTTCAGTTTTGCTGCCAATTTATATACGGTAATGTACATGCGTTTGATTAACCAACGTAATCGTACGACCGAAAAGAATGCATTCCATCACATGAACATTGGATATCAGCGGCAATTGAGTTTCATGATGCCAGACGGTTCATTCTCATTGTTCCGTTCGGATTGGAATTCATCATCCTCATCCGTTTGGTTGACCGCCTATTGTGCGCGAATGTTCCAAGAAGCATCGTTCTATGAATGGGAAAATTACTTGTATATCGATCCATTGGTCATTCAAAAGTCCATTCGCTATGTGCTACGGCATCAAACCGTTGAAGGTGCTTTCTACGAAGTTACCTGGTCACCCGATCGAAAAATGAACAGCACACTAAATTTGAGAGACGATCACATTAAATATCGAAACATTTCACTCACCGCACACGTTCTCATCACACTTGTTACGGTGAAAGATTTATCGGGCGTAAGTGTCATTAGCAGCTAATTATTTTACATGTTTACGTCAATATTCGTAACCTTGAACAAGAATTATATTTATGTGTTCTCAATTTTCTTCTTCTTCTGCGTTTGTTTCATTTTCACAGAGTTTGACTGGAAGAGTGGCGATAGCACAGCAAAAAGCGATACAATGGTTGGATCGAAATTTGAAATTGCTCGATGAATCGGGTGATCCGTATGATGTTGCTTTGGTTGCATATGCGCTGATGTTGGCCAAGACACCGACGGCCGAACAAGCCTTTAGCATTTTGGCAAAACATGCTCGTACAATCGGTGAATACATGTACTGGGGCCGCGAAGAATTGCCACCGCCACCAACCAAATGGGAAAATCAGAAACCATTCTCTTTGCCTCGATTGCCCTACGAATATGATTCGCTGAATATCGAAACCACTGCTTATGCTCTGCTAACTTATGTGTCGCGCCGTGAATTATTCGTTGAACCGATCGTACGCTGGCTCATCACTCAACGTTTAACGGACGGCGGTTGGGCATCAACACAGGACACCGGCGCCGCAATGAAAGCACTCATCGAATACACCGTTCGTACGCGCATTCGAGACGTATCTTCATTAGCTATTTCAGTCGAACCGTCATCCACCAGCAAAACGCACACATTCAACATTAACGACAATAATTTGGCTCAACTCCAATCGCTCGATGTAAGTGATGCGATCGAAATTGCTCTATTCCGATGCCAATGAAAATGATTTTGATTTATTTTTAATGAAAATTTCCGCGGATTATATCATTGATGTTTCTGTTTTATGTCTGTATAGATTCCGAATGCATGGGGAACGATTAAAGTTCAAGCTAAAGGTGCCGGTTATGCCATTTTACAAATGCACGTTCAATACAACGTCGATATCGAGAAATACCAAACGAAACCACCAGTGCAGTCATTTGATTTGAAACCACGCTTGCTTTTCCACGGCAGAAATCAGTCTCACATTTCATACGTTTCGTGCCAAAGGTAATTAGGCGTTAGGTTCGGTGGTTAGGTGTCATTTTTTGGGCCCAAATGGTTTTCTTTCTTCATTAGAGTAGAAATATTGACCTTCAATAGATTCAGTAGTTTGAATTGGCTTTTCTTTGAATGAAATTTGATAAATCTCGCTAAGCAAGGTGTTAAAAATAGCATTTCTACGATTTGCTAAACAAATAACAGCTTCTCCTCCTGACATTGTACAACATATTTAGTGTGAAAGATATTAATTCGTTTTTGCCTCATTTCAGATGGACCCATTTGAATGAATCAATTCGATCGGGAATGGCTGTTTTGGATGTGACCATCCCAACCGGTTACTGGATTCAACAGCAGAAATTAGATGCTTACATTTTGAGCAAACGCGTGAGAAACCTTCAACGGGCTCGTTACTTTAACAACAAAGTTCTTTTCTATTTCGACTATGTAAGTTAGAACAAACACTTCAATCTTTTTTTTTGTTTAAATCATGTGAAACCAGTCCTAGGGAAAAGACAATTTTCTCTCTGTGAAAATCAATCACTTTTACTTTGAACATTTTCATACCTTTTTTTCATTCACAATTGTTGACCATTTTGTTCAATCATTTTCAGCTCGACCAAGAAGAGACTTGCGTAAACTTTACAATCGAGAGATGGTATCCAGTCGCCAATATGTCGCGTTATTTGCCATTGAGAGTGTACGATTACTATGCGCCAGGTAATTTGACCAATCCGACTATTTTGCAAAGAAAACATTCAAATATTTCACCGTAAAAACCGAACTGATTGAAAAATTGTTCGAATCCCATTGAAATGAGTGTCTAATCCATAACCGTTTCTCATTTCACAGAGCGTTTCAACGAGACGATATTCGATTACATCCCAACGTATTTGCTGAATATTTGCGAAGTGTGCGGTAGTTCGCAGTGTCCATACTGTTCGATTTACAATGCAGCTGTCAAGTCACCAGTGCCACTAATCTTAATAATCTCAATGAGTTTTGTGCTAATAGTACGACATTTTCGTATGGTTCGACCCAACAGCAGTTGGCTGTTGTTAACAATAAGTTGATTTGATTAGAGTCGAGTCGAGTCGAGTCTCTGAACCAATCCTCCCAAGTCAGGAAATCCAAAAGAAACCAATCGATTTTCTTTCATTGCATGAAGTATACATTTAAAAACCGTCCATTTTCTGCAAACAAATTCTTTTTATTATTTGAATGATCTGATTTTCTTTCTTAGTAATTTCAATTCGTCCATTTTTTGCATCACTTAGAAGATTCCATGAGTATTTCTTTGGTTTGAATGTGCTTACTTTTGTTAGCAGTATGTACCATATTCCGATTTTTTTTAGAGTTTGATTTATCTGTACATCTAGCAAAAATAACCTCAAACATAATCAGAACACAAGCTTGGACAAAAAGTGCATTTTGCGAATGCAAAGAAATGCTTTAAATTAAATACATATCCAAATCTCTAGAAACATTCGAAAGCAATTGAATTTTTCACTAGGTTTAAGAGACAACCGAATGCTAGGCCATAAATGACCCTTCCGATAAATGAATAACATTTTTATAATCGAAAAACACACACACCATCGACAATAAGTTTTAAAACTAAATTTAGCTTTATGCATGAACGAATGATCAAAAAAGAAAACACAGATGTAAAAACTTTGTGTTTGAATGAATCTCGTCAATTGCTCACATAGGAAATGTATCTGCTTTGATTCGTATGATTTTTTTTTACCATTGAGCCAATCAAGACGTATGCTACTCGAACTTGAATGTAATTCTTCTTTATACTGAAATCACAAACACACAAACACACAAACACATAATTCCATGTCCACAAACAGAAATCTTGCATGCATTTTTAGTACAATCGAACATGTAGTTAAGTTTAATAAAGAATCTTGTAGAATTCCATGCTTTTTTAAAGTTAGAAAAGAAATATGAATATTTTTGCCGATAGAAAATATTCCACAAATTTTAAAAAATGAAGGAGAGAGTCATCATCGACTTTTCCATTCATTTTACATTTTACTTAGAAACGTATCTCTTGCAACTCATGACAGTGTTTAGAGAACGAACGAATAACATTGCCGTCCACATCTTCTGGTCAACTCAAAAAAATATATGAAAATATAATGAAAAAAGAATTATTTTCACACTAATAGAAAAAACTTGTCTTCTTATTTAATCGTAGACAGAGAAAAATGAATTCAATCTTTGAATCGTAAAAAAATTTGTTATATGAAAATTTATTTTAACTGGATAAAATTCGATGTCGTGAATAGAGAGAAAAAAAGAGCAATGTAGATTTCTATTTCGTGTTTTTGTAAAGCGAGCAATCCACTTGAAATCCAAAAATGCTCTAATATTAACTTTTATGTGTAAAGAATGAAAGAAAAAAACAAACTTTATTTTAAATAGAAAAAGTGTAACGAATAAAGTGAACAAATTGTTAAATGTAAACCATTGGCTTTTATTTTATTTTATTCGCGTTTTTTCAGCATTCATAGAGGAAAAGAGATTCATAAGTTCTTCTTCCTATTCAACAGGAATGTCTTTTTGAGCAGATTTTGGAGAAAATAAGTCTTATCAAGGTAAATGTGAATGAAGAATGAGAGTAGATCGATTTTAATGTTTTGTCAAGGGTTGAATATGACATTTTATTTCAACTACAAAAAAAAGAAAGAAAAAAAGAAAAGTGCCAACGACACATGGTGTTCCCAGACGGTCACCCATTCAAGTACTAACCATGCTCAATGCAGCTTAACTTCAGTGATCGGACGAGAACTGGTGCTTTTTACATGATATGGTCGTTGACGAATGTAAACCGCTGTTATGCGTACACATGTTTCTAATTCTTAATGACGAAGATTTTTGTCATTTGCAATATTTTTTTCAAAGTAAATTCATCACTTCAAATGAATGTGAAAAAATCAAAAGTTCTCTAACATCATAATATAAATTCCTATGTTTGAATATTCGACGTCTTCTTTTATTAATACAAAGGGTAAAAACGGTATCAATTCTTTCGCCCATTTTTTTTCATTGTCATTTTTGTCTTGATTGTTTTTGGTAGAATTACCGCTAAACCCTTTCGATCAAACGAAAACTGTTTAACAGTTCGATGATGTGGCGTGACAATATATAGAGGCTGTCTTGATTTTAACCGTTTCAATTCGGTCATTTGCGGTTGCACTTCGAACTAACTGTCAAAATCAACGGTTAACGAAGGCATAGTGGAACATTTCGTTTGCAACCAATGATCGTACAATATTTTAATCATTCAAACTGTTCGGAGGATTTTTGAGAAAATTCTGTTTTTCGTTAATTATTCAAAGTTAAAAACATCAATCATAGGAGATAAATACGAAAACTACACCCGATAGATTTAGCAGTCAGCTCGTTTATTGGCATATTTCGTTCAGTTGCGAAATATTGCGTGTTATTTAACACGAATCAATCTGCTCTGTATGTTGTGCAACAAGACAGCTAACATCAAACATTCGACACAATCTTGAGCCGCTGAGTCAGCATTTCATTGTCGGAGCAAAACTTGGTATGGATTATTTTCATTTAAATTGATTGATTTTGAAATGGAAACTATGAAAAAAATTCCAATTTTATTAATTTCGAGTATTCTAATTGGAATTTCACTTTTGATGTCATTTCAACTAGGACTACACTAGTGTGTGCGACATCATTCGTTTTCCCTGCATCGTAAAACTACACCAAACCAAAATGGATCCACGAAATGTCGAAGGAAAACTGGCAGAACAAATGAACGAACCACAGCAAACCATGGACACTGAACAACCACCGCAAATCTTCAAACTGAACGTCGATTGCTTTGAAAAGGTGTTTGAATATCTATCTATCAAAGATCTTCACACTTTTGGACAAACATGCAAACGAATGCAACGGGTTACCGGCCACTTTTATCGGCAACAATTTCCCAAAAATCATATCAGCCATAACAAATATGTTGGTTTTCATGAATATGCCGGGACCCTATCATTGATAGCCAGCGGCCCTACTGATGAACTAAATTTGACCAACATTGATTGGGATATATTCAAATCAGCCAAGAGAATCGATTTCCTTGGAGTTAATTTGGACCAAATCAAAATGATGCCCATGGAATTCTTAAACCAAATCGAAGATATTGTCTTGTTTTTTTGTAAAGTAAATGAATCGTTTTATGAAAGTGTTCTTAAGCAATTCACGAACGTAAAAGTCCTACAAATTGTATGCAGTGAATTTGATTATGAATGGGTCACTCGAAAATACCCGAAACTGCAGCATTTCACATGGTTTGCTAGCAAGCGCGCAACTGCTGTCAAATTGCGATCGTTTTTGCAGCAAAACTCTACTATTCGTTCGTTATCAACGAAATTAAGTTGGCTTTTGCCGAATGAAACTGAAATGATGGAACTCAAATTGGACGACTTGTGCATTTCCACGACTTTGCTACAACAGAATGACTCCGATTTCCTGAATAAGCTGCATGCCAACGGCGTATACAAACGATTACATATTAACACCAGAGATAATCAAACGTTTGTCGACGGATTGAGCTCATTGAAGTCCCTCGTTAGATTTACTGTAATGAAAATTGGAGGAATGGTCGATTTGTCATCACTGGTAAACTTAAAAGTGCTAAAATTCTCAACAATGAGAATCGGAAATTGCATAAACATTGCAAACAAACCGGCACTTGCGCAGAGCCTTGAAAATCTCAATGAGGTGCATTTTAATGCGGCCGGTATCGATGACATTTTACCGTTTGTACACCTGTCGCCAAAATTGAAGAAGATCGGCGTCATCCTTAAATTGGGCGAAAATCCAAACCAAGCCATCGATCCAGTTGCGATGAACCGTGAACGTGAAAAGTTGTTGACCAAAACGTTGTATGTTAGCAAAGTGACGATTTACATCCCTCAATCAAATTACCTGGCAACAAAGTGGAAAACAACGGAAATCGACTTAAAGCTGATCGAAATTAAACGAGTTGAATCGATCGATACATTCGAACTAATGGTCTTCTGATGTCATGATCATTTTTGAACAACGTGTGATTATATAAGATTACAACTAAAATACCTATTTTTTCTAATATAAAAAAACACTCAATGAAAGTGAATAAAGCAAACCGAATTTATGTTCCAGTTGTGAAGTTCGGTATTTTCAATTAGCACATTTTTGATTTGGATTTTTATTTAGGTATTATCATGACAAGTATCATTGCCAATCAATGTGGCTTATTTATTATCTAACCATTTAGTATAACAATCCAAAGAACTTGAGTTCTTCAGTTATTTCGTCTAACTTCATCCAAAGTAAACGCAGCATAATGATAACACTTCATAAAAAAATAAGCTGTGCACCAATCGTTGTAAAAAAGTGGATTCTTCTGACAACAACAATTGAAAACAATCGAAAATAACCACTGAGATCTTGTTCAAAATAATACAAAGCATTTTTTATATTCTTAATCACAATGACTCAAATTGTCTTTCCGTCCGCATCAAATGGATACTGCTTTCATATCAATGTGATCAAAACAGCTCGATCTCTGAACAAATTTGAGTTGACTCGATGTGCCTTAACGGCTATTGTCGACGCAAAGAGGTGAAATATGAATTTATTCGATAAATACGATCCAAATGAATAATTTCATCATATGAAACATTCTCTGGAGAAACTTTTGTCCAAACAACAATCTTTTTGCAGTATACGTGTGTCCATTCTTTTCTCGTATTATGAATAAACTTTCTGTTTGCGAAATCATAATCTTGGTTAGTTGGAATCAGAGACATGTGTACGCATAACAGCGGCTTACATTCGTCAACGACCATATCATGTAAAAAGCACCAGTTCTCGTCCGATCACTGAAGTTAAGCTGCATTGAGCATGGTTAGTACTTGAATGGGTGACCGTCTGGGAACACCATGTGTCGTTGGTACTTTTCTTTTTTTTTCTCGCAAATTTGAATTAATTTTCGAATCGTTTAACGAATTCTTTTTAAAAAACAATAGTAATTTTTATTTTTGTATTTTTTCTATTTAAATTATACTGACGTTGTTGGGAAAATTCGAAAAATTATCAAATTTAGATAGTAGAATGATTTACTTTAAGGTTAAGATTTAAAATAAAATTTTATTTCAATTTTGAATGCTGCGCATAGTACGAGAGATTATGACTTTTTTTTAGCCCAGTGTTTTGTGTTGTGAACATCAGAATAATAATAATGATAATAACAATGTACACTGTACAGTCCAATTGAATTTAACGTGCCAATTTCAATTAGTAAACAACACATACTATGAAGTGTTACGTTTCGTTCAAAGAATTTGACCAGTCGGATCAAACAGATTTGTCAAGCCCATTGTGTGTATGACGAATGGTGTGTCAGTGAGTCATACATTTTGAATCACACTGTAAATGATTAGCATATTAATTCGGTGTGACGTAGGATGTTGAATACTTACACATAACGACATAGCAGTATATATAATACTTCAAACGACAGATTCGTTCGGAATGTTTTATAGCGATTTAAGAAGCAATCTGAATATAATAAAAAATATACACATAAAAAAGCGACGCACGGCATTTTAGTGGATTTTTTTAAGTTTTTATTTTTGTTGGTTTTTATTTTCAATAAAATACAACTGTTCAAACTTAATTTTATTAATATAATTTAATAATCATAATCATCATCATTATAATAATGGTAAACATTACTACCGAAAACAAATATTCATTTCTTTTAGATTTTGTGGCTCAAATTTTAATGTTTCGAATTGTTGTTGGTTTTAACGTTTAGTTTGACTTGGATAAGTTGCATTTTTTTGTTGTTTATTTCTTTCAATTGGTTTCATGTCTTCTATCATATAGTTGTTGCTATATAAATCTGTTTATAATTAATCTCCCTTTTTTGTGTATTTTTGCATCATGTTTTTTTTTCTTTAATTACGTTTCACTATAAATACTTAGATTTGTTGAAATTTGGTGCGATTTTCGAATAAAATTGTTAAATCTAGTGTTAATTTGTTGTTTTTTTTTATATTCTCATCTTTATTTAGTTACTGTTGAATATGGCGGCGATGTTGAGTGTTGTTGTTTTGTATCTTTAAATTCTGTTGTTTTTTTTCTTTATTTTTGGTGTGTGTGTTTTATAATGTTAGTTAATAAGTGGTTCATGCCGAAAAAAAAACTTTTGTTTGTTTTTTTTTTCACTTAAAATAAATGTCGCAAATTAATTCTAGCATGTTTTATTTGTTGTTGTTGTTGTTGATCAGAAAGAAAGAGAACACTTTTCAGCAAATTGGTTTTATTTCTTCTTCGTGTGTCGAGTTAGCGAGGATTCAAAAGTGAACAACTTTGATGGGCTGTAATTTCTTTTTTTTTCTCTAAATTCTCTCCTACATTTATTTGAAAACAAAAATTCGGTTTAGACCATCGTTTTATGCGTGTATTACTTAATTTTCTTTCTTCTTTTTTTTTCATTCTGGTGGCTCATCCAATTATGGTTGTTGGTATCGTTCACTAATTGTTCTTCATCTTCTCTTCTGGTTTTCCACTGTAACTGTTAAGTTTCCTGCCTCAAAAAATCATTCGTTAAATCATAACATGAATAAGATCAAAAGTGTTTTTACGATTCACTTAAGTTATTTGCCGGTTTTGAGTTTTTCTCTGTGAAGAAGGAGAAAAAAAAATGGATAAAAAGAAATAAAATTAGTTCAAAACACTTAAAAATGTTTTTGAAAAGCATGTGAAAAGGCAGACAAGTGCACATCTGTATGGAAGAATAAAAATGTTCAATCGACACTTACTGTTCAGGACTTTGATCTGTATCACTTTCGTCTAAGCCTTCCTTGTTACGCCGTTTTTCGTAGACTAAGATAATGGCACATAAGATGAATACTTCGGCGCAGATGCCCAAGAATGGCCATAAGGCAGCTAATTTTCCTATTAAAAGCGAGACGAAAGAGGCATTAAACATTAATTTGTTCATTTGAACTCTGAATGCGTCAGAGTGTTTATTTTAATTGTTAATTTTATTCGCAAATCAATCACAAGACAACTCGTATAACCAGAGATTGCACATTTGCTGCTGATTAGGTCTGAGCTGAGCTGAATTTGCTAACTCAGGCGCCTGTAGCGTTATTTTAACGCATTCACAGTACAAAATTCATATTCCCAGCCAGATTTGCCAAGTCAAATTTGAGGCTTCAGGCACCTGAGTCAGCAAATTTAGCTCAGCTCAGGCCTACTCAGCAGCAAATATGCAATCTCTGCGTATAACTTCTACGAAATGAATGTTTTACCTTTGACTCTCACATAAGTTCCTTCCTTGTCTTCTGTATATTGGTGACCTGGTTTGTATTGGAAACCGGTGGCTTGATTTCTGGCAGTGCAATTGTACCAGTTTCGGTCTTCGAGAACAGCGTGTTTAATGATGAGTATCGCATCTTTAACATTATCTTCATCGTCCTTAAGAGTAACATGCGACCGGTTGAAGTTTGCATCATTGCCTGTTTTCAATTCGGAAGAAAAATAAGCCCATATTTAGACATGTGTACGCATAGAGAAAATATTGAACAAAAGTTTCAACAGTAACTCGACTTAAAACCAAATTGGAATCCGATTCAACTCACCGATTAACCATGTGATCTCTGGATTAGTTCCGAATGCTTTGCAGTGGATTTCAAGCTTTTCACCTTCGACTACAGACCAATTGTCTGGTATGTTTTTCAAGTAAACGTTGGCTACGTTATGAACAAAAATAATCACACTTTTAGTTTCTTTTATTGGATTTAATTTATCAGGCCATTTTCAACGGCAATACGCTTGCATCCATTCAATATTTTATTTGAGAATCACTTTTTACTCACCGATAACTTCGATATCGGCTGATTCACCGTTGTTAGTATTTCGGCAAGTGTATTTGCCATCGTCATCAACGGTAGTATCAGGAATTATCAGGTTGTTCTCCTTGATATTGTAGCGACCTTTCAAACTGGGTATTTCGCTGATATCTGTGCCATTTTTCTCCCTATTTGCAAAACAAATATATCACAAAAGTTGTGAGTTAACTCTGAATCCAAAATCAATTCATCATATAAGCCAACCAATGCTACCTTTTACCCGAAATTAGTGCATCTAATGCAGAAAATAAGTTTTGAAAAAAATGACTCACCATTTGATATTGATTTTTTCGGCCGTCGATGATGGTTTGCAGCTTAAAAACAACGCAGTGTTATCTCTTGCTTCGAAAAATACTACTTTTTTTTCTTTGTCGGAATAATTTGGTGTTAATTCTGAAAAAAAAAAGTAAGCAGAAAAACGTGCCAAGGTTAGAATTTAAATCAGAGTAAGCAAATTAGACGAATTACTTGTTTATTTTATCATTTAAGGGCATTATCTCGAAAATGAGTTCAAAGTTCAACGAGATATAAACAAGCGTTGTAATTTGTGTTGGGCGTTTCCACAATTACTGTGTGACGTTTTAGCAGTTTGTTTTTTGTTCAGTAATTTCCATCCAAATGGAATTAATTGTGAAAAATAGTTGCTGACAGCACAGCATGACTTAGTTTGGAAGTCGAGCGCCCGGATCTAAATCGATATATTTTTAGAACGTTTTCAATTCGTTTAGCATGTTTATGTGAATTGACTTGGTTGGTTTATTTTGTTAATCCGAAAGTCATGACATGTGATGTTTGATTGAAGTTTAAAATAACAGTTTCATGCGTCGGAGTGCGTGAAATGGCCAAATTTTCCGACATCGCACATGCCAACTCACATACTGTAACCGGAAATCTTGGTTTCATAACTGTTGCAATGCGAAATACAGTGATGAGATTTGCTCATTATAAAATCAGATCAAGACAATAGGTTGAAGCGTCTGAATGACGCGATAACAGCATTGCGACAAGCACAAATATGACCCGTTGGAGACAACAAAGCCATTTGCGATAACAATTCAAATCTCCTTTATATGAAGGTAAATATTTATTGCATTATAAGCGTAATGCTGATCATTTTGCTGTTAGTTTGTGTATTCAGTGAAGTGCTGATTACGTAGAAAAAAAAGAAATAAATTACTAAGAGCTAAATAAATCCACTGATTGATGCGTCGTATACATGATAAACGAGACAAATTTCCATTCCATATTTTATATTGGTTGCAGTTAGTGCTGTGTAATGGGAATATAATTTGTCAAAAGAATGCTTATCAAAATGTGTTATCAATCTGTGTTGTCAAGATGTGGTGTAGTGTACGGTTGCTACATTTTGAATTCGATTTCAACGGAATAAGGTTGATAAATTGAGTTAAAACACACAAAGTTTTCGTCTAACTTTACTAATGAGCAAAAGCAACGATTTTAACAACATTTCTGCGCTAAGTTTAATAACTTTGTATCGAGATGCGATGCATTTCCGCGCAACAGCATTCCTTGGCACACTAGATATGACGATTTCGTTACGATAGCACGAACATAGCGCATCAGCAGAGAGGAAAAGAGAATGAAAAAATGAAACAAATGTTTGCCATAAAACCGGAGACTCATTCAATTAAAGTTGTTTATTGTTATCAACATGTGCATGACAGCGGGAGGAATGAATGTCTCAACAGCAAAACCGATACACATACGTATCTACATCGATATAGAGATGGAGAGAGAGAGAGAGCGAACGAACGAGCATAAGAAGAGCCGAGAGAGTTGAAAGTTCGCTTTTAATTGAAAATAACACAGAAACCACTTTCACACTGTCGACGACACTTCATCTTTTGCATTTTGCTTTCAAACTTATTTGTAGTTTGTTTTATGGCATTTGGACTGAAATTCCAAGTCAATATCTTTGTCTATTCATCGCAATGGTAATTGTGTAAATGTCTTGTCATTTGAATCGATGTATAATTTTTTTTTAGGTCATTTGTTCAAGTTAAAATTCAAAACGCAGCAATTGAATTCACATGATATTGCTTTTTCGGGATTGGGAGTTGCCAATTGAATTTAAACGTTGTCGACATTCTTGTTGATTATCATTTTGAGTGTTGTATCTCGTTGGCACAATCAATGGCGTTGAGTGTCTCATGTGACCATATGTCCACACTGTGAGCGAAATGTGGATCGCCCGTTTTCCCAAATGGCAAAAGCGAGCGAGCAGGCGGACGATATGTTGCAAGTGAAAACAACGAACTTGAACTATTCGGTGATGACGTAATTAATGCTCCCATTTTTATCCCTCAGGTTTCAACCGAATTCGCATCTGAATGTCAATAATGGTTGGATAGTGTGTAGCCAATGCTCACAACACTTTTCCTTCACTCTCCTGCTATCTGTGCTGCTTGCCAATTTGAGCCACATTACAAACCATCGATATTTAGTGGTTTTATTACCAGTTATGCCTAGGATAGTTTATGATGAATTTTATCGTTGCCTACGATGTATGATACACATACACACGAACGCAACAAATCAATACTCTCATGTTTTACAAGGAATGACATCATTTAACTGCTCTATTATCGTATACGTCATTTATGCACATTAGAATGGGATTATATTTACGACAATATAGAAAAAAACGGTGCCGTTTTTTGTTTCACTTCAATCTAATTGTTAAACTGCCACTTTGCATGCAACAAACGAACGTTCGTTTTTAATTTCAATTCAACGAAGCGAGCGCAAGAATCGAGCATTTTGTACGATAACAGCATGGAAAAAAGGATGGATTTATCAAACAAAGTAACTGTTATGACGCTTACACACCATAATAAATTACTTTAATTCGCCACAGAACTGCCATCCAAATGAAATGGCACCGATTTCCTGAGTGCGTTCCATTGATATGGATGGATATGAACAGAGAAAGGGAATAAGATCGCGAGAAGTATGAATACACACACAGAGAGAGAAAGAGAGCACGAATCAAATAAAAAAATGACCATCGAAAATTCACCAGTGACTAAATGAAAGTTTAATGGCCATTGTTTTCGGCTTTAAAATGATAATTTCTACCCAATTACTTACCTGATTTAACTGTTGTGCTGGCTATAAATAAAATCACTGTAATGTACTGTAACATTGAATTTAGCTTAAAATGTTTGTAGAACTCCATTTTAACTTGAGTTTTTTCTTCCTCTTTTTCTCCTTCTGTTTGTTTTAGATCTCGTTTTTTTTTTTTTTTAATTTTACTTAATTATTGGAACGTGACAATTTTCGACGAATTCAATTTAGAATTCACTGCACTGCCGATGATTGCGTTAATTCGTATCCTTCTTCCTATTTGAATCGAGCAAAAATTGAAATGATTTTTATTGAAACAGAAACGAAAAAAAAAAAAAAAAACTATGATGTGATTGTATGAATTACGTCAAACGTTTCTGTTTATAACGAAGAAAATGACAAAAAAAAACATCATCACGACCACAATAACAACCGACAATTTCACTTGAGAATGTTGTAATGACAAAGAAAAAGTAGTGTACATTGAGAATGAGCAATTAACACGAGTGTATGAACATAAGAAAAAAATGTCAAATGAAACAAAAACAAAACTGAACCGATTTATAATAGTAGAAGCAACGGCGAGTTTCTTTTTATTGACGACGTGAATTGATCTCAAATTGTAGTACAGTTCAGTTTTTCCGACGACTTGTTGTCCCGATGCACAATTTATGGCACACGGCGTGTGCTAGGCTTGTGTAAATCGATGTGAATAAATGGCGCGCTCATTGCAATACGCTGCCTACGGCGTCTATGTGTACGTATCGATTGCTTGAAAATGAATTTTCTCGCTTTAATTTCCGTCCAATCGAAAGCTCTTGGCCAATGAAATATAGATACACATATGCTTATTGTCACATCGATTTCACTATTACGATCGAATCAAAATAGGCTAAACTAAATTTGCTAAATTTTCGATTTAACTTTATAAAAACTTATTCAAATGATTGACTTTCATTTTTCGATTTGAACTGACTTTTAGTCCGATCGATTTAATCTATCTCATTAAAATATATTCCATGCCAATCGTCGACTGATCCGGGCGGTTCAATCGAACTTCATGAAAGGCACACTATTAATTATTCTCGGATTCAACACGATATCATGCGACAAACACAAAACTGTGACAAAACTCAAGCCTTTAATGAACAGTCGCAAGAGAAATTCATCAATGGAACGATTCTTATTATACTGGCACTGGTTTTCGCTATTTCAATGGCAATATTGCGACGGAAAGAAACAAAAATTATTCAATTATAAATATGAATTGCTAATTTTTTGTTTCAGTTGCGACGTAGGACAGAGAGATCAACGACGATGACGACGATGACAACCAAAACGAGATAAAGAGAGAGAGAGAGAGAGAATTTTCTTCGCTTGCAAATATTTCTGAAACGATTGATGCAAATGAATCGCACATGACAAACAAATATCAACTGCGGCAAAATGAAGTGTGAACTAAAAATAAATTCTGGCTTCTTTCTTTTGTTGTCGTCGTCGCTGTCGTCATTTTTTATTTGCCGTTGCTTCAAATAACCGAAAACAATAAAATATCTGTTGGCGATTTAATGCGCATTCGGTTTGATGTCTCTCGATTGAAATGATTGGTTTTTTTTTCCTTTCTGCTGTCTCGCTGGCGCTATTCCATCTTGCTCGCATCAATTTCATCAACACGTTTGAATTGATATTATTTTCATTTTTCATGTTTGTACGTGGTCCTTTTGTTTCTGTATATATTTTGACCGTGGTCGAGAACAATGTGTCGTTCACGTACTGTCTCACGACATGAAATCGACACATACACACAAATCAGGGTGATACACACAGATGGAAAGAGAGTGTGAGAGACCGCGCTCAATTTCCGAGAAGCTCGCCTGTGGCCGTCAACTAATATGAAATGTAATATAACATATAAATGGATAGCACATAACACACAACACACTTTGTATGATTAGATAGAAATTTGTGCCGAACAAGACTCATCGACCGACCGTCCGACACCGATGACTGCGACTGTGACTGTGAAGCGGCAAACGGGACGACTCTGAACTTTCTACTGAGATCGAAATCGTATATCTTGGTTGGCGATAATTTTTTTGTTTCTGTTTCTGTATGTCGCATGAAAATAACAAAATCGTTTAATGTGTAAGCGAGAGCGCGTCGCAATGTGTGTATCGAATCATGTCAATTTTGTGAACGAACGAACGAACTAGAGTGTTGTGTGAGTGAAAACAGGCGCGTGTAATCGGTTGGTCGCTAGCGCGTGCCCGCTCGTTTACTTGCTTGCGCTGGCAAAAAGGTCCACATCGCTGATCACACATCGTGTTATTGTTGCTAGGAATTTTCCTTTTAGCAAATTGTAGCACTTATTTCACGTACACACACATGAGGCCATCGTTTGTGGCATGCAAATGTGCCGAGTTCTCATCTCAGTTTCCTTCAAATACCGTACAATGAATTGCTTCCTCTACGGGCCCTTCTCACAAAACCAATAGAATCAATAGACACAGCAAAGAAATAAACTGATAAAAACGTAGCGCTGATACAGGGATTTTGTGGTGTCGACTTTCATTTTTCGTGTTTCGAATCGATTTTGACACTTTTGTATCAACGATCAAAGTGCACAGTTGTTATTGATTTTCTGGCTTATCATTTGCTTTGCAATTATTACAACGGCATTGTATGACATTTTTCTACACTCTCTCTCCCGATACAAAAAGCCATCATTCCGTTGGGCATGACAACATAAGTCATCGCCACTTTTTATTCATTATTTATTATTATGCATTTTAGCACAAACAGCATTTTCGAATCCAAAATGAGTAGCAATTCCAACTAAAAACGAAACACTCATAACAAGTAATTTACAATAAAAGGCACAAACACATAACACTTTTCGAGCAGATTACAGAAAATATGTGTGTACTTTACACTGAATGAAACTCAATTGAGATTTGGTGGATATGTGTAAAAAAAAAAAAGAAGAAGAAGACTGGTTAGTTGATTGAGAGGATTTGTATCATTCGAACGCTAAAAATTGCATTTCACTCTGGTTGGCCGTGTGTCACCGATGCCTTTTTTGCTTAAATCAACGAAAAAGTGCTACAACCATTTTTCTCTTGCATATATTCAGTTCCGTCGGATCAAACTATTTCAACTGTTTTTCCCTTTGTAGGTGCCTTTTTCCACACTCACACTCTCTCACACACACAACGAACCACAGAATGCTTTGGGACACGTTTACTAACACTGGCTATGCATAGATAGGGAGGCAGTGTATCGTACACACACACACACGGTTTGCGTTTTCCTTGATTTTTCTTTGCGGATTTTATTTTCACACTTGCCGCAGCGACGTATCCCCCGTACAAATACACAAATGGCGACCGATTACGTCAACATTTACCAATATTTGGATACATGCATGAGGAAAAAAAAATAGCAGCACACATACAGAGCGCGCTTTGCTTCTCTATATGAATCCAACAAATTTTTCTTCTTTCGTTTGTCGCTTCGACGATAATTTTGTTTGTGTGCGGTTGTGTGAATGCTGATCACGAGACCAAGAAAATTTTCTCAATGCGAAAACTCGACCGAACACCAATACAGTACACTAGAAATAACTTTTTTTTTCTTTTGCTTTTCTGTCGATTCAATTTTTCCGGAGCGCTGAATTCTCATGCACTCACGACAAATTCGACGATGTTTTTTCTCTTTATTTTATTTGTGATTTTGATGTGATTTCGAAATCAGTTCGTATGATTTTTTGTCATTTTTTCATTCGATTTTTTTGGTATGTTTCAAGAGATTATGAAAAAAAAAATTTATTTTACCACACACACCAACACCACACTTATCTCACACTGTCAAATTCGAACTGACGAGTGAAAGAAAAAAATCCATTGTCTTTTGCATTGGATTGTCGCTAAGCCAATACTTACCACACATTTCTCCTCGACACGTACTTTATAGATGTCATTGGATTGAACGAGCTTTGCAAATAGGCCAATAGGTGGCGACTTATGGTCACGTTTTGATTGTTTCTTTGTTTTGAAGGAAAATGCGATTCATTTATTTTTTTTCTATTAACAATTACAATTTATTTAAATAACAGGAATTGAATTAAAGCCTTTTGCAACTAAAAATTGGTGTCAAAATTCTAAGACTCGTCTGTTGAGTTCAGAAATTCTTTGATTTCAGCGCAGGCATCGTACAATTGGGCAGCTAATTTTAAATCGGAACTTTGTTGTTGCTTTGCCAAACATTCATACGTCTTTTTGGCGAGCCGCTGCAATCGATCGATGTATATTAAATCATCCACATCTTCACATTGTGCAGACAGTTTCATTGGAGATTCATCCTGGAATTTCGATCGAATAATTAGATTGAGAAACTTCATTTCATCTACTCCGTCAGATTCAAATTGTAATTGCCAAAAGAAGTTTTTTGGGGAAAAAAATATCGAAAAATTTTCACTTACCAATTGTTCCAAATACGAGCTAGTTCTACTTCCCATGGCCAGAACCCGTGAATAAAGATCTGGTTTGTCTTTGACGAAATTATTCAATCGAGTGCCTGTAATCGATATGAGCATCTTGCCCATAGATGCAGGTTGCGACACTTCGCTCAATTTCTCTTCTGCCGTTTCATCCCAGCCTCGACAGTATAACTGAACTACCTGATATTTTACCAATTCATCTTGATTAAGTGTCCATTTTCTCGCCAAAAGAATGACCTTTTCAATCCACTGATTGAAATCGACGATATAAATATCTTGAAAATCTTTGCGTATCAAATCGACAGCCACATTTATTGTCCGGTGCAGGAAATGCTTTCTAGATTTATTGACAACTTCATCGGGTCGTGGAATTGATTCACTCAACTCTTTGCTCATATCACATGCCAACAGCTCTCTCGATACTTCATTGAACAAGGAATTCATTCCATTTTTTACATTCACATTCAATGAGGATATGATAAACATCACTTCCAACAGCTGTGAATGCAGCTCGACTATTTCAGTATTGGCTCTGGGTTGCTTATTGGCACGAGTTGCCAGTGCCGGTTCGGCACCGTCTTGGAGCATCACTTCAAATTTTAATTCAACATGTTGACTAATTATTGTCTCAGTTAAAATATTCAAAAACTTTGTGCAATGCTTCACAAAATCGGGAATCTGGTGAGAAAAAAAAACAAATAAGAAATGATTGAAATCGATGCAATTGAAAAAAAAATAACAACCCCACTCACCATTGTATCATTAAATGCCGAATGTGACTTTAATCCATCTACACTTCGGCCAATGTTATTAAGGAGTTTCATCGATGTTTGAATGTACTTCCTCAGAATATTATTCCAAATGATACAGCAAATGCCATGTTTTAGCGCATACTCGGATTTATCGAATAAATCCAAATATTCAAGAGAAGTTGTAAGATATTCAAACTTCTCCGTGTTGTTGCTCCATGCATGAGCGTATTCCCAGGCTAAATGGCACAGTAGGGTTGCAGGCCGAAGGCTGAATGGGAAATGTTTACGCAGTAAATTTAAATATGAAACCGCTGAATTAGAATGTGTGTATTCTTCGGTGATTTCCTCCTCCTCATTGGTAACAGTGAAAAATGCACTTGGTTTCACTCCGGTTGATGTGATCCACTTGGCAACTAATTCCGATACAATGCCATTGCCGCCGCTGAAAATCGTCATCAAACTGATGTCGGGAGTGGTATATTCAAGAACGGCTACGTCAGTTGACGATGAATGCCGGTTTGGAGTGAATGACAAAATCGAACTCAATGCAGCAATATCGTCCAATTTTCCAATCAACAATGACCATTGGGCTATTTCCTGCGATACTTGCTCCCATACATCATCTTCATTTGTGCTGTCTTGTCCCTAATTGAAAAGGAATTGTGTATATTTTTGAAAAATGTTCAGATTTTCAAAATTTTGAATTTGATTTTGATTAAAAAAAAAATTCCCTTACATCTTTTTGACGATACAAAACTGACAAATCTCGGCATAATACTGCAGCTAAAAGTGATTTGAACACATTTGAGCTGTGTAACAGCATCTCTCGAATGTTTTGCCACCACGGTGATAGAGCGTTGTATTGATGCTCGGCACAGGCCCGATCCAAATCGCATATTGTCTGAACGATATGCGTAAAGCTGATTAGGTGATGGTTTACTTCATTGCTGCAAAAGACAATTGTTGAAGTTTCGAATTTTAATTTTGTTTTTTGCAACGTCGTTGATTTTCATTATTCATCAAAAATACTCACTTTTTGTCATATTCAATGTCTTTTTCCATCCAATATTTCAAGAATAGCCTAAGTAGAATTTTATTCGATAGCGTGCTGATGTTGGCCAATTTATAAAAACCATCGAAAGTTGCATTTTTTCTGATAAAACTATCAAACAAATCAAATCCAACGGTTGTGAACCGTGCACTTTTCGACTCATGTAATCGAATGTTGTCACTCGACGAACAATCAAAAATGGATAAATATTCTATGAAACTATTGCTTGTTGTTGGACTTTGAATGAAAACTTTCTTTGATTTCTTGAGGTTCAAACACAGTTTGTACTGTTCAATGACCTTGAAAATCTCTTCAAAATCGCCATCTCCAATTTCGTCAGAGTCAATCAAATCATCATGCGACGTCTTTTGTTTCATTCCATTGTAAAATAGTAACAACCTTTCGTATTTGTGCAGAAATTTCGACAATCGTGTATTACTGTAGGCATCAGTTTCCACATTGGCCGGTGTTAATGTGTCTTCTTCTTGATCGGAACCTTCTGCCGTTCCTTCAATTTTCTTCAAAAATGTGTTTAAAATCAGTGAAAATATGTCCGGTGTCAAGTGTCGACTTTTGATAACTGAACCAATGCACTTGAATCGCATTTCATTCGTTTGAATACTATCACAGAGATCGGCCAATTCCGACATATTGTCGACGTCAATGGTTTTGAGGTCTGCTTTTATTTGATTTATGATATGAGAATCTTTGGACTTTTTCGTATTCGATGTGTCCAGTGCATAATGAAATGGTATGGCCAACTCTTTAATCGTAAGATCGGTCGGATTGAGAAAGAATGCTCCAGTTGACGAATGATAGGTTGGTTTAAAAATAACCGAACTATTGCTTGAACTAGGTGCACTCGCAACGGTCGAACATGAATTTTGTTGAATCAACTGACCATTTGGTCCGGCTGGAAATACCGCAAGCTTTTTGCCTCGTTCTACATTCCAAATGTCGACTGTTGATCGCTTCGGTGAATAAATTGCTATGAACATGGCATGTCGCCGTTTCTGTTGCGCTGACATTTTCGCCATTTTTTCATCCACTTTCATAAATGAGCACTGTGCATCGCGATATCCCTTCCAAACACGTACAATTACATTATGTTGGCAATCGACCAAAATCACTCGACCCAAATTATCTGCAACGGCTGCCAAACGGTTGTACGGCGACAGCCAAATTCGATTTCCAGTTCGATGATCATCGTAAAAACCATAACGCAATATCATTGATTCCGTTGAAATTTGCGGAGCTGGTTCAGTTGCGGGTAGAGGCTTTTGCGCTCCAGGAAACCATGACCTATGAGAAAATTTGATTTAGAAAGCAAGTTGAACACATGAAATCAAATTTGATTGAAAACATTGGTATGAAAAGTTTTGCAAACTGACTAAAGAAAATGATTGACTCACGGTAATGCATTCTTTACTTGACTTGCAACCGCTTGAACTATGGCCACCGATACCAATGGTTGAACCAAGATTTCTTTTGCATAATAAAATGCAGCAAATGGCTTGATACCACCCGATAAAACGGCCAGCTGCTGCGGAGCTGAACTTTTATATGATGCATAAAAGCCACCCTCCATGCTGTAATGAGAAGACATCAATAGTTTAATTATTGATTTTTATTTTTCTTCTACGAAAATTCAAATGAAAATGATTCAAAGTGAACAACCAGTGAACAAGACTTTTGAACAAGAAACAGTCACTTGTAGATTTGAACGCATGTTAAGTAATCGCATAAATATTTAACAAATTGTAAGTACCTTGCAGCTAGAAAATGGTCAAAAAGGCCAATTTTCTTTGAACCAACAACTGAACTGTGAACAATTTCATTGGATCGGCCGTATGAATCGCCATATTTCCACACGCGACACGAAATGCTGCCCAACAAACTATTTGTTCGATCTGAAAAATTCGACATTTAAAAATATTTTTGCTATCATTTTTCTCTGGTTCAATGTCTCACTCAATTTGTCAAAATTCCTCAGCGATTGCATCAATTGTTTGCTTTGTAGAATACACAGACACGTTTTGTACATCACATAAATTTCTTCAATGGATTTCTTCTCGTTGGGCAATTGAATGCTTTGTACTGGTTCTGGATACCATTGTTGCGATATGATGACTTGGCCTCGAGTTGTGATCAGCTGACACTTCCCCGAATCGAATCCAATGAGAATACCAGCCACAACCTGCGAATAATTCCATTTAATAATATTGCTTTAACTCGCACAATTCCATTGAATTTGTTTACCTCTTCAGCTTCATTGGTGATGGGCAGGCAGAGGATGGCAGTAATATCATCGTACGGAGGTAGCTCATCGGACCAGGTAATTGAATATTTTGATTGGTGTAAACGTGAATTCCATTTCAATGATAAAACAATAATTTTTGTCTGATGCGCAAACACCAGCGTACCCGTCTTCACAGACAACGTATAACGAACACTATTTAGCCAATTGCTGTCTGAAATTCAATGCCAAATTTCACAATCAAAATCAATTCCATTCAATAAAGATAATAATACGTCACACCATTTTTGCCCACTGGAGTGAACACACGTAAAAAAAATTTACCTTTTTCTAAACCGAAAATCTCTGGTATTTTCCTCAAACTTTCCACACAACAAATCGATTTCACCTCTAACACCATTTTTAACTATGACTAAATTATGCAAATAAATTGTGAAAACAAATGGTTTAAACACGGAATCGATGTTCGACGAATGCAAAAAATATTCTCCAGTTTTGATAAATAAAGAGTTTTTGTTTTGATTCTCACATACGTCGAGTCAATGGGCTAAGTACATTTGAAGGAATCAGCTGTCAGTTGGATGTTCTCTGGTGGTGACATCTATCGTAAGTCGACCTAAACCAGAGCCAAGTTCAATAGAATTATGGGAACATTTTCATTAGGAATTCCAGCTTCTTTTCATGAATATTTAACTAAGCTCGAATGAAACATTTTTTCTTTCAATATTTCAACCAACTTTATCGAAGTACAGAACAATAACAAAGAAAACAGACTCATTTCAAATGCACATCGTTTCCTTGTATTACAACGAGTGCTTTCCGCTCAATAAGACAAAGAGGAAAAATCGATAGTCTGGATACATAAGAGAGTGCTCGTTATATTTCACAATTTTATTGCTTTATGTTTTGCACGCAACGACAAGCGATCGTGTGTTGTTGCGGATAATTGGCAGGAAACGCCCATGTACCTCGAATTTGCCGCACATGAAAATGGATGCAACCAAATTTATTGATTGGACTTCGTGCTTTTTTCGATTTTTACGACTTGCAAAATGAATTGAAGCCATTTGCTCGAGTATGCTGTTATCATAAATTTGGCAGACATCGGTAAATGGAAGCGATTTATAATCTAACATGGGTATCATAGTTTCAAAATGGATTATCACTCTGCATATATTGTTTGAACACTTTTCTTACATTTTTACGACAATTTTGCAATAACTCTGAAATTTCGGCTTATTCTTTCGTTTTTTCATGTACCTACATATGTTTCAAAAGTAGCCGCCTGAAAAGTATGAGCCAAATTATTTTAGTTCCAAAATTATATGGAAGAATGAAAGAGATATGAGTTTTCAATATCTCATGATAATTCATCTATTGATGAAAGGCCGATTTTTTTCTCAAAAATGAAATTAAAACTTTTTCTGAAAATAAAATGAAATGAGTGTATCACGTTCCGCATTAATACTCGAAAATGTATTCATTTTTGCTTATTCTTTGGTTTTTTGTTGTTTTCACATGAATCATAGCTTCAGTTTGTTTTTCATTTCATCAAAGTATTATAATAATTTTTACTTATTGTTGAACAGTGAGAATGGAAGAAAAAAGTCTTAGATAAGCTGTGTTCATGTACTTATTCATGAATAAATAAACAAATGAGCAGAACAAGTTGGTATTCCAACAAAATAAAGCTTTATGTCTAAAGACGTTGGAAAACTATTGAAATGCATTTATATTTTAATTGGCAGCAATAACTTACAATTAAATATGTCATCTGATAACATGAAAAGTGCAGCATATTATTTAGGTTAGCTTGAATATTGCGTAAATATAATTTTTTCATTGAATTCAATTCAATGCAATTCAATTTAACTTAGAATGAGCAAAATTGAGAGAAAAACTCTTTTTGGAAAAATATTGATGCTTTGTAATAATCGAATAAGCGGATCAATGGACCAATAAAAAAAACTTTAAGATGAAAACTGCAATACACATAGATTCATGCCTGTCGATAATAAAAGTTAAAATCATTCCGCCATTCACATTTGCATCTCTTCAAGAACACTCATCACATTTATTCAACTCCTGGAGAGTTGAAGATTGTCAACATTAGCGAAAACTAAGCGAACGTGTACAAAAAAGAAGTATTTTCCACTGCATTTCAAATGAAGAAGTTGTGAGAGTTGTCACCCGATTCGAATCTCAAGTCGTCATTGCTTTAATTAAGACAACAAATAGTGCTTGCATCGCTGGTGTCAATCTTGTACATTGGACGATTTACTGGTGCAAAATTGTGAGTCGGCATGCACATTTTAATGGTTGAGGTGTCGCTTGCTTTTATCTCTCAAGTGGTGCTTTTAGTTGAAGTGCTAATTATGTCGACTATTAACTGAAAATGAGTAACACTTAAGTGCAACATGCCTTGAAATCGGAATGTGAAAAGTGAATTTAACTAACGCAAAGGGAGCCATTCTGAACAGCTTGGGAGCTGTTCTAGGTACGTTCGCTGTACGAACAGCATGTGCCGGATCTGGTTTACCATGCATTTCGGCTGGTTGAATTCGCATTGAACGTGTTTAATCGATTCATCTTGCGCACGTTTATATTTGTTTTCGTTTTTATTTGTCATTTTCCACAGTTGATATTTGCCAATGTGTTTCCCCACTCTGTGGTCGTTCGCTTATTCGATCTTGATATCGTGCGCCGAGTGTTTGATTCAGTGTGATTTATCTACCCTAAATTAACATGCACTCGAACGAACATTACATGCACACAAAAATGCACAAGGCAAGAAGGAAAAAAATCCACAATCTAAATCAAATAAAACGAGAAAAAGGCAGTTGAAAATAAATATTAATAGACTTACAAATGCCAACGAGTCCAAAGAAAACAGCAGCTCTTTAGAGCCTGTTTTATTACGACAAAAAACACAAAGCATATTCATAATGTTGACTGTATTGTGGTTGACTATATGAATATGTGATTCATGGTTGTGTCATGTTTTTGTTGAGTTTATTTATCAAAAGCCGCGTCAAAAATGCATGTTCTATTCATCTTAAAACAAAACACGTCACAACAGATGCTACGCAAATTAGAACCGTTTACCGCTTTTTTTTGTGTGTGTGTAACACAACGGATCAGGTCTTTTGAACTGGAATTCAAATACTTTCTCACAATTATGTCATGTTTGTCATCGATAACAACATTAGAATCAGACCAGTGAATTTCATTAGACTCGAGGGTTGGAATCGAGTCAAAATGCCACAGATGGTTTTTAATCACGATATTTGGCGCAATGCGGACGATATTGTGATAGAGTAAATCATCACTATGCATATCAGATTCCCGGGGACCACAGTATCAGCCACACCAGTAGAATAAACAGACACAATCGTGGTAAGCAGAGTAGAGTGAGAGTGAAACATGCATATGAATAGCACGGGAATTATGAATGTGAATTTGTTTTGAGTACATTTGTCATTAGATGCCGTGCAGTGATATGGATTCGAATTGGCGCCGAGCGAGAGAGCAAAGTGCATACACGGAGATGTGATAGATTCGATTAAAGCATCGGGAGGGTGAAATGTTTGCTTTGCGTGATCCAAAAACAGCACCAACAGTACACCGATTAGTGTTGTTGATTCGTATTTTATCTGTATTTATGACTGTGAAAATCACATTTACCCCACACAGAAACCAACAGTTCGAAAGGGACGAGCACTTTCAATGCACGAGTTTAATTTGAAATTGAAAAGAGGCTGGTATGAGTGAGTGGTACAGCCGTATAATTGTAATGCGTGTGAGACGAAGGAGATTGTTGCTTTTTGCGCTGGCGAATAAACCGACTTCCGTTACAAACAACACCATGCTCATTCATTACCCTAACATCACTCATGAGATACAGCACACTCAAAGGGTCGTACGCTCACTTCTCGAATCGAGCACACATCTCAGCACATTTTACGAGGGATGTGCGTCTTGTCACTACTATTATTCATCGGATATTTTAAGTGCGTGTCGGAAAATAATCAAATAATATTCTGTTTCCGAAATTGAATTAAGTGTTGCTCTCTTTTGTGCGTATAATTTTTGTAATGCATTCCACGCCCGGCCGAAACGAATTTCCAACGCTCCAGAGTGCATTAAAGGTTCAGACGATTGGACATTTTATTAAGAAATATGATTTTTGTTTCTGTTTTTCTCATTTGATAAGTGTTTTACAATCGTTTTTCATGCTCCCATGAGAAGCGAATTTTTCGATTTTTCCTGAGGGGAATGGGAGAGTATTTCGCTTTCTCTGGAAAAGAGTAAAACGATGAAGAGAGGTAAACCAGAGTTCATTCCTTCTGTTTTTGCTTTTTTTACATTCCCAAAGTTTGAATTTTTGCCTATGATAAATTTGAGCATAGGGAAATATCGCTTTTTTCCTCAACCGAAAACAAGATCTAATCAACCCATTGAAACCAAAATACGAAATCAGATTTCAAGACCGAAATACCAAAACATCAAGCGACGATGGAATGGAGTGATGAAAAATTTGTTCGGTCGAAAAAGTGAACCGATTGGTTTTTACCGCGCTTCAACCATCCCAGTCTGGTATCGTTCAGTTTAAATTGGAGACAATTAATTTCCCTTAATTGATCGATTTTTTCGGTCGATTTGAACGAGAAAAAAAGCACTGAGTAAATAAATGATCACCACATCGTCTTAGTTGGATAAAGAACAATTTTTCTCGAATTTCAAACGTTGATATTGTCTGAATATTCAATTAATTATAAGTTTTATCAGTCGGTTTAATCGGCTTTAGCCTAGTTTGACATTCACGCAGCACGTATCGCTCGAAAGGTCTTCTGGTGCTGTCTACGTTGCAACAGTCAATCTCATCAATATTATCTCATCGACTATAAAAAGAAATTCATTTGATGCGACAAGCGCAATAATTAAGACACAAATTCACTTAACGAAGGCACGACGACGATATGAATTATGGTCTCGGCATTCAATGAGCCACGGCAATCCACACAGCGAGCACACATGATTGCCTTCGGAAAACAGCCAACAAGAATGGAATGTAAAAATTCTTTACGTTCAAATATACATCATAATAATGTGCAGAATTTTATGCGCTTGAATTCAATCGGTAATCTTGCTTGAAATGTGAACAAATGATGTGGCTGCAGTGCGCGCGAATGTCACAGCGCCGCTCACGAACTATTAATTTTAATTAATTTTCGGTACGTACGATTCCGATTCCCTCAAGAATTTTCCCGCTGCTTTAACCGTCGTTTTGGCTAATTTTATCCAACAAGAAATGTTTTCATTTCCCTTTTTTTTTCTACCTCTTTACCAATTAACTGAACAATCTCTTTTATCTTTGACGACAAATCTATCTCTTTTTGCTTTGAGTATGATTTTTTTCACATTTTTTTTTCTGAAATAAACGACATTTTTTATTTTCTTTTTTTGTTGTTGAAAGTGATGCACAGCAAGTCCTGTCGAGCCGTTCAATAAGATGCCGTAAATTTCATGAACGAAACAACACAAGATGAAACAAATATGTTTCTGTTGAGTTAAACGAAACCACGTGTTACGATTATTTTACAGCAAGACGAGCGCACTCTTCAATTTCAATGGCATCAATGTTGTTGTGGTTTTTTTGTTTCGGTGCTGTTCTTGTTCCCAGATGATCATATCTTTGTACTTGCAGAGAGTGTGAGATGCATCAGAGGATGTAATTTTAAATGGTTTCATAAATACGGTGACATTTTATATGGTCGGGCACGATGCAATGCATGTGACACTTTCGGAATAATAATTGCACGACGCCATCAGTTGTTATCGTTTGTTTTAACGGCGATTTGTTACAGAACGCATTAAAATTGCATCGAATTAAAATAAAAACTGACGATTTAAAACACGACTGCGGTGGAACCGGATAAGCATATGTGTGCGATTATGTATTGCAACTGAGTGTGTCGTCCTTTTATGGCGTTTCAATTTTCGTGTTCGATGCTCAAATTCGCCATTTTAATCATAAATTCTGGAACTATGATCGAAAAAAAATGCCACAACATTTGTTATCACGTTATTGTTCGTTTTAAAACATTTTTTCTTCAGTACGTAAATATTGTTTATCATCTTTACGAAAAGAGACGACCTCAGAACGGGCAAGACACAGTGGCAGCACATTATAAATTTCATTGGGTATTCCGTTTCCATTGACTTTTTTCTTAATAGCGTCTAATGGATAGGCAGCTGCGTCTACTGTCATTTCATCGTTTCTTCCCGAATTCTCGTTTTCCTCTTGCCGCCCGAATTCCCGAAAGGTATTCCCTTTGAAAGTTTCAAAACTGCGTCCAACGAATATCGCTGTCTGTGATTAAATACTTCCGATGTGAATTAACAATAAAATAGCACATATTCGTCACTTATCATTCCCGGTGACAACAGCACGATTGAAACTCCAGCAAAGAAATGTGGCAATGTTTTGTGTTTCCAACTGAAAATAAGATGTCATTTCAATATAGTGATACAAATGAACATAAATAAACCACTTAAAAACTTATAAATAACATTTTAATGTTTTCGAAAACACAAAGAATCGCCGGCGTTGTAACAAGTCAAAGCAGAGAAGCAGAAAAAAAGCGTTACACATGGAATTCAAAAGCAAAAGTAAAGACACAAACATGGAAATGGATTGAAAAATAAGCAAGCAAGCGAACGTTTCAACTACACTTTTCACAGTTTTTCTTTCTACTCGCACAGTCTTCTTGCGATCTTGTTAACACATAGATATTGACGCACTGCATACACAATGACGAATAGTTTTCAATATGCATAAATCTGTAGCGTTGCTATTCCCAATGGTATATAATCGAATGCATGGCATATTTATGTATCGGATGTGCAATGAATTTCTTCCAGCCATTCGAGAGATAGACACGATATTGCGCTATTAGTCGTATGCCCCGACTCCGATATGTCTTATGGCACTATGCAGCTATTTGGCTTTGAAATTGAAATTCGAGATAAAAGTCGGCGAATGCATGAAAAATGATGAAATTTTCAGGCAAGTTTTCGCTTTTATGGAAAAAGATATTTTTAATCATACGAGAAAACAAAAATTGTGGAAAAGTTGTCAATTTATTCGAAATGAAAAAATTACTTATTGAAGAATTTATCAAGTTTTTAAATAAGATAAACAACAGAAGAAAAGTAATGAAAACGAGTGAAAAAAATGACTGTTGTCATGATGACTGATAAGATGACGACATTTTTTAGGTTTCAATATCTTGAAAATGAATAAAAGTATCTTTTTTACCATGGTGAATGAATATAAAATAAGAACTGACGGTTTTTGATTAAGAAATAAGTTTCATTTCTTATTTATGAGAAATTCCTTGCTTTTTCATCTCTAAACTGATAAAAAAAATGTCCACAAATTGACATAGAATATCGACAAATTGGTTAGAAAACTTCAATAAATTGCTAAAAAGTATCGATTGATTGCCGATAGAATCATATATCCAGATGGAATGACTAGATTTCGTCGGCAAAATTCAGTGATTGAAACTGAATTCGCATTGATTGAGAGCAAAATGACGGAGGATTTCGTTGGAAATCAATATGAAATGGCACGATTTATATCCGTTGGCATATCACCATTTAAGCGGTGCTACAGTTCAGATCAATTTTTGCGATAGCTTATTGTAACAGCCATAGCGAATGTGGTTCTACCATTGGTGCTTTAATTATGATATTGGATGCAGAGCAAATTGTCGTGAAATATAGACGTTTATGGATCTTGATGGAGTAATTCCTTTGGAGAACAAGAAAAAAAATAAACGAACAGTCGTTATGTGTTTAAAATCGGCATCATGGTCTTAATATCGAATGCGACACAGTCTCGGCAATGAGTAAGTCAATGAGACATTGTCGTTATGTACTCCTTTTTTTTCGTCTGTGTACAATTGTACATAAACACATAGTAAAGTAAACGCAATGGCCATCGAAATGTGCGATAAACATATGTATTTTGCGTTGAAAATGGCTTAAAAGTTTTCTCGGCAATTTCTCCCGGGAATGTACTGTACTTAATCAAAGGAAGAGAAAATATTTTGTTTCCAGTTGAGTGAATTCTAAGCGAGCCATCATTTGAAAAATGTAATCACCCTCACTTTGAAGAAGAAGAAGAAAAAAACACAAGCGAAATATTTCATTCAAATGTTGCGAACACACACAGCACATAAAAACGATGTATGTATATAACACACAACAAGAACACACGCACAAGAATCCTATCTCGCCATAGAATCAACGAATAAAACGGAAATCGTTGAATATGACACGGCCCATCGTAAGCAAAAAGAGGTGGAGCCAAGCACAGCAAACGATACATGTATTACACTGCAGCCGTAGTGTTTATGCACGAGCATTATGAACGACGGGCTGTTTGTTGAGCGTCTACCAACGCAGTTAGTGTGCTACAGTGCACAGTGGATGCGTGCATAAAAACAGACCAAAAAAAAGCGGATAACCATGCATGGGCACCGATCTGGAACCAATATTCCCTGTGCAGCAGCAATAAACATGTCTTGTTCCGTGGATACATAAGCCCAAGATCCACCGCGGAAAAGGCAATTGTATACAACAACAGCAGCAGCAGCAATAACAACAACTTATACGACAAATACATAGGCACGATCAAAACTGCAGCAGTAACGAATGAGTGGCAAGCGAGAGTATTGGATAGTAAAAAAGCGGTGTGTTGCTGAAAGCGCCATACATATTCAACGTAAATATTCGATTCTAAAGTCAGTGGCCTTTAGAACTTCACAACGTACGGTTCGCTTCATGGAATACACCGTCGCTACAGTGAATGTGCTCTCGCCCCGCAACCGACAAAATTTTTGTTGTTGTTGTTGAATAATTTCGTCGAAGAAAATCTACCGCATTTACTCTAACGAACATTTCGCTTCATTCAGTGTACAAAAATAAATATAATATAAAAAAAAACGCGAAAAAAAACATCGGTCTATGCAAATTGACCGTTGTTCACATTTTTTGTGTGTGCTATACGAGCGTAAAAAAAGAGAAGATTTGTGGTTTGTGTGTGCTCATTAAACGCGCGCGGTTATTGTGAAATTTATTCGGCGTGGAGGTGTATTCATCATCCTCGTCTACTAATTAAGTTCCATCTTTGAGAAGAAACGAAGAGAAAAAAAAAACGAATTGAAGCGAATCAAAAATCGGACAACAAATATATCAACACATTGTTTACAAAATAGAACACGGAATATTGTTCGGGTTTCGTTTAATCGTGACAATTTATTGAACGCGTCTTTTAATTGCTTTTAAATAGCTTTCGACCTGCGTTAAAATTAATGGAAGTGTCGCGCGAAAAGTGTGTTGAAAGCATTCAATTGCCAAAATAATTTGCAAATGACTTGGTGCGAATCAAAAAAAAAAATAAAAACAAATAAATCGTACATAAACTGTCTTGTCGCTTTGTTCTTTTTTCTATCATAAAAAGAGAGAAGAATCCATTTTTTGATTTAATTTGATTTCACGGTGAACGCGAAAAAAATGCTCGTACCGTCCGACATGATTTCGGCACAATCGAAAATGGTTTATCAAATGAACAAATATTTCGGGGAGCGCGTGCAACTGCGCAAAGCCGGCATACTGAAGACGATTCAAGAGGTATGCCGCATCGTTCAGGATGTTTTAAAAGAGGTGGAAGTGCAAGAGCCACGATTTATATCATCGCTGAACGATTATAATGGCCGGTACGATGGGCTTGAGGTGATTTCACCCAACGAATTCGAAATTATTATCTATCTCAATCAAATGGGTGTACTGAATTTTGTCGATGATGGAACATTGCCCGGTTGCGCGGTGCTCAAACTGAGCGACGGCCGAAAACGATCCATGTCATTGTGGGTGGAATTCATTACGGCTTCTGGATACTTGTCGGCACGGAAAATCCGATCAAGATTCCAAACATTGGTCGCTCAAGCCGTAGATAAGTGCGCCTATCGAGATATTGTTAAAATGATCGCCGACACAACAGAAGTCAAACTAAGAATACGCGAAAGAATTATCGTTCAAATCACACCAGCTTTTAAGTGTGCCGGACTGTGGCCCAGATCTGCATCACACTGGCCAATACCGTCGATTCCATGGCCGCATCCAAATTTGGTCACCGAAGTGAAAACAGAAGGTTTTGACATGCTATCAAAGGAGTGTGTCGCGTTACAAGGCAAAAATTCAGCAATGGAAGGTACAGTTGTTCGTTATCCGATTTAGTGATAATATTTTATCATAATAATTATTATTATGATCGAATCATAATAATGATTATCATCATCGAACCATAATAATCAATAAAATAAAATAACGTTTTTTAAGGCGATGCATGGGTGCTGAGTTTCAATGAAGCCGAAAATCGACTATTACATGGTTTGTTCTATAAAATTTTCTATAAGTGAAATGCAAAGAATCACACAAAGTTCGAGTAAATGTCATAGAAGAAGTTAAAAAAGGATTAAAAAGTTGAAATTGAAACTAAAAGTCCAAAATCCCAGTATAAAGATGTAGAACAAAGTGGTGGAGGACAAAGAGGAAGTATGAATAAGCAAAAGGAATTCTCTGCCATGAAAAAACCGACATCAATCTTTAAAAAATGCGTTACATCAGATTTCTTCAATCCTTTTTCGATTCAGTTTTCATTCACCCGTATGAATCGAGAACACTTGGTCTGAGCTCAGTGAAAGAAAATTGTTTGAAATTTAACTCATAATAATAGAACTTATGGAGTGAATGAAAGAGTACATATCGATTGAAAAGGTCTTAAAATCAAAAGAAAAAAATTAATATATGTGAAGTTCAACCAACTAAAAATGATTCAGGAAAACGCCGATCTAAGGTTGAATCAAAAATTCAGCTTCCCGAACACAGAATCGAAAACTATTTACGCGTATTTATACGCTCAGGGATTAAATTTCCAAATTACAACTCTTTTATTTGTTTATTAAACAAAAGATGTAGACCAAATGTCGAGAAGCACGATTCACAAAAGAAATTCGAGAAAGCGACTCCTTTTTTTATTCATTGTTGAATGAATTTATTGGAGCGGTTCATGATTGAATCCCGAAAAAACCGTTGGATTTCTCAAAATGGAAGTAAGAAACGAGAAAAATTCACGTTTGAAATAATTTCTGATAATTCAATTAACAACATAATCAATTCTACTCTCGATTTTTTCTCTCCAAATACAAAAGAGTTCTAAGCCGTAAAACGAGTAATAGTCAAATAATCGTAGATGAATGCTATAAAACCGCGGACATTTCCTTCTAAATGTATCAATTCAAATGAATGAACAGCACATTTACGACCTGAATAGTAAAAAAAAAGTTGGTTGCAGCTCATCCTCAAATCAAATTGTAAAGTGACATCTTTGACAAATCTCATAATTATGTTGCTGGTTGCTTTTTATGGCGAAAAATATTAAAATGTTGTTAAAAATGAAGAAAACAAAATTCAGAACGATAAGCATGGACAAAGTCACACCCCGACGGCAAATCGTTATTTCGTCGGTGATTAAATAAAATAAACATAAACCACACAAAGAAACAGAACATCCAATTAGTTAATATTTCTCCAAACAATGCGTGAGACAAACGAGCGAAACGCCAACTCACACACATCGAATGCGAAGAGATATGAGGTTCGAAAATCAGAAGAAAGAAGAAAAAAAATAGCTCTAGGTCGCACGAGTGAGAATTCAAAAAGAACTCAAACGAATCTCTCGGCTCATAGGAAAGTAATTTGATATTCATCGTTGATTCTCAAATAAAATATCGAATGTAATTACGATTTTCATAAGCTTGTTAACAAGATGTCTTTAATTATGCACTTTATATTTATCAATTCTCCCAAACGAATTCAATAAAAATGATGGCTTTATAGCATTGACACTGGTGTGTCTGTGTGATCATATGATGAGCATGGAGCTCATTCCAAATATCAAATCGCCTTATCTCGAAAGCAATTTTTTTTTTATGTTCAATGTGTTTTTATCCACACTCACATTGTGATTCGTACGCAATCAATTTGGATATTATTGTTGTTATCGAGAAAATGACGACAGCAGTTGAAAACGGTTATGAGTTTCATAAAATCACATCTTCGTACCTGTAATGTGATTTCGTTCTCTGTGTCTCTTTTGGTTTTTTTTTCTTTCTTCTCTCATTGTGTGTGTTTTTTTTTCGTGTCTGTTCGTGCATTTTGTTTCACTTTCGATGCATTTGATTCGATCGTCAACCCGCGCACATTCTTCACCAGAGAACGAGATGGCACCGATGGTGGTTCCGAACATCTCATTAAAATTGCTCAGCGCGATGAAAACCATCGTCAATGGTTTTCAATTAAATGAGAAACAAGCCAACTATCTACCGTTTGTATCGGCCACATTCGACAGTGACACGAGGACCAACAACAACAACACCATCACTAATCGAATGAAAACGAAAAACTCACGCGACCGCAAGTAATCCAGAAGAGCATTCGCTGCACAGTGCACATACACACTGGTCTCTGGCTCTGCCTCACGGCTATACCTGTGCATCAAATCCGATATGTAAATATCAGACGGCCAACAATATCATAAAGATAACGAAATAGATTCAAAGTGACAGTTTTTTATACCTCATTCACTGTCGTCGTCGTCGTCGTTGTCGATCGACAAGAACAAAAATCAAGTTACATTTCGTTTGAAATGGCTGATGGCTTTTGTGCTTGAGCGATTTCAATTCATTTTTTGTTTGTTTCTGAATCGTTCGTTTTAATTTTGAATCGTTTGTTTTGTGGATTTTGAAATATTTCATTGCTTTGGATTCAAGAGAAAAAAGGCGCGCGAGAGCGCTCACAATTCTTTTCGATATTTGTGAGAACGAGCGTGTACTATGCGAAAACGATACGCGCTATGGTTCTCATGGGTGAGAGAATCGTTAATAGGATGAAACAGAATGTGTGTATTTGCTTTTGTTTTCCACCAAACGACACACCAAATATCATGATCGGCACACCGTCGATCAGATAAACCGATCCGCCAGTGGACATTTTTCTTTCTCTCTTGTTCTTCACCGTGTCTCATCTTGCACCGTTTCCAACAAACGAACAGAGCGAGAGAAAAAAAGCACATCTTATCTGATGTGAATCTTCGATATGTGTGTGTGTGCTTTGTTTGTGGACGCTGTTTGACTTTTTCGTTTCTATATGCAAAATATGGTTTGATTGCCATTTCATTCGATGTTTGCATATTACAATGTTAACCAGTTTATTCTCGTGCAGCTCTCTTTTTTCATCATCGTCGTCGATGTCGCTATATTTAAACGAAAAAAAAAACATATTAATTCTGAAAAAAAAATCACATAAATTTACACTCAGTCTGCTTGTGCACACCGTTAATGACTGAAATATGATTATGAATCGTCTAAACGCAATCCAAATGTGCATACAAATCAATTATATCACACGCTATTTAAAATGTGCATTTACAATGCAAAAATTATCTCCGTTTTTTTTTCGCTTCTCCCATTCATTCTGTGGTCGTTTTTTTGTTTGTTTTTGCGCATCATACGCGAGAAACGTTGCGATCCAGTCGATTAAACGGCATGTCGTGGTGTGCGATATGCAAAATATCTGTGCTGCACAAAATGAAATATCAATTTTTGACTTGCCTAATTGCGAAAAACAGGACAGGTTCAAACATAAACTTTAAACTCGCACAAAATATTGCTAATTGACAGCAAAACAGTAGGTATCTCGTTTGGGTCGAGCAATAAACTTATGCACTTCACTATCGTTCACGGTTAGATTTCGATGTCATCCTTCCGCTAAATTGACAATTTTTAAAAACAATTTTCTAATAAGCATCCAATGTGATTCCACCGTTTCGTATCCATTTTGGTTCGCAAATCAACAATCAAATATGCCTCGTATGGTGTGTGTGTGTGTGTGTGTGTGTGTGTGTATGTGTGTGATATTTTAATAAATATGCGCTTCCTTCCGCCTTCATTCGGGCTACCATCGACAGCATTTATGCCAAAAACGTTTACGAAAGATATTAATTTTCACCAAAATCTCTCTTCGGCCACACTCTCAATCGAGAGCCGAATTCAATTAAGTGGCTCTTCCTTTAGAAAAGCAAACAGTGTGAAAATGGTACGCGTTTGATTGAATATAAAATCCACTTATAACCATTCGAAATATAAAAGGCTTTGTGCTGCAGGGATAATGCACAATACACACACACACAGTCACATGTATACCTGGTTGAATTGTGATGCGCTGTTGGAGCCACCAATAAATTTTTATTAACATCAGAATAAAAGCCATACAACCATAAATTATACCTGATTCGTTTTGGGTGAATCGACTTTAATTGCTTTTTAAACTTTGTTTCTTTTTCCCTTTTCTCTCTCTCTCTCTATCTCTCCGCTCGTCCATCGTCCATTTGGGCGACAATAAGTGTGCATTGATCACGACAACAATAAACAAATCACTTAGCGACCACATTATCTATAGATCATAAAGTGTCTTTGCCATGTGAATGCATTTCTTCGCTGAATATAAATTCGAGTTCATTGAATGAGCTGAAGTGTAAGCAGTTTTATGGGTGGACACAATTTGAATATTGAAAAAAAAAAAACGTTTCCTTCCACTCAAGCGAATTTTGATGTGGAATTTTCTGAAATTAAGACAATGCCGATATGAGTTTTTGGTCATTGATATCCATCGATCAAATTTCGATTCTGTAAAGCAAAAGATTGATCGTCACAAGATGAAATTGATTGAAATCATGAAGTCGAGAGAGAAAAAAATGTTTGTCGTGAGATCAAAATGACGTCAGTTGAAGTTAGACTCACGATGCGCCATCGTTGGTGCTACCTGGGCCGATATAACTTTTAGTTAATTGAATATTAACGTAAGCAAAAAAAAGAATAAAAAAAACTGCGCTGCTCCAATCTCTCGGACAGAGCGAGAAAAAGGCAAGCGAGATAAACGTTTCATATCATCATCGCATGATATATTTTTGTGCACAAATTCAGAATTGTTTGAATCTTCGTGCGTATCGATCAATCTAATTTTAACAGGACGCAAGAAAGAGAGAGAAAGGAAGATAGAGAGCGAGTGAGCTTGGCTGCTCTCGAAATGCACATAAATTTTGATCTACTTGAAAATGAATGAAGAAAAAGAAACGAAAAAGAAAAAATACACAACGAAATAAACGGCGAATGATGAAAAGTAACAATGCAGCAGCTTAACAGCATTGCAAAAGGGCAATAGCAACCGCAGCAACAACAAAAAACTGTCAACATATCCTTAGAACGTATGCTATAATTTGTAAAATCGCCCTGAGCTGAAAGTGCTGAGAGACGTGGCCCGAGCATGAAATGAACGAGCACCGAAATAAGAAAAAAAAAACACTCGCACACATAATGCGCCAAAGCGAAATGCAAAATGCGCGAGAGAGTGAACGAAATTGTGCCGTCTTCTTGCGAATGAAAGCAACGAGAAAGAAAAAAACCAACGAGTCGAGCGAAAAACACTGTTGATCGACATTAAATGCACGTTGCTACGCCAAAAACGCGTAAACACTGTAAGCGTTCGCTGTGTGTTTGCATTAACATTTTAACATTGTACCGTGTTCTCTTTGAGCGCGCGCAGAGAGTGTGTTTGTGTGTGTATACTGTATATATTATTATTATCGGGGCGAAGTGAAATATTTTTTTCACAGGCCAAAGTGAAGAGCCATTTTACTACATCAACGACTTGATATGAAAAGATCGTATCCGATAAGCTAAAACCGAAAACAAACATTTACCATTTTAGCGATGCAAGCCGAGTGCTTGGAGTACAACAGTTTGTGTGGCACACATAAATAATGCTCGAAAATTATCGGCTTTTGTTTATGTATTATTAATTAATTAGATGTAATTGCAGTTGGAATAAATTCGGGGCCCGGAATTGACCACATCGATCATATGCCCATTTATTCTGGCTGGATGTGTACGTGTGTGTGTGTATTTTTCGCAAATAAATTACGCAAACATAAATAAATCATCACAAATCTGTTGTTTATAAAATCAATTAAAGCCAAGTAAAATGTATGCCTTGCGGTTCATCTAAACTGGCGCTCACGTCTGCCATACGGTCTCATCGGGTAATCTTGTTTCTAGTTGAGACAAACGTATTAAATGAGAGAAAAAATTTGGTTTTTTTCTACACTTTTTTATGTGATGTACTGAAAATATCTCTCATCGTGTCATATGTTTAGGCAGGAATAATGAGCTCGTTTCGTTGTTTGCACGTGGAAGAGCTTCAATTACGAGCAAACTTCAATTATTCAATAATAATGGTCGGACTGAAACAATCTGTTCATGAATTTGTTTATATGTTTTTTTCTTTTAAGTAAAAGCCAATAAATACTGTTCCGATCAGCAATTGAAATTACCGCATAAACCAAAGTACCGAATGCAATAACTTCGAATCACTTAACTTTCGATTTATTAATCAGCGATGCAATTTGCTTCGGATATGACATCTGAACAGTCGGTCGATTTCTCAATAAATCAATATCGGCAAACTCCAAAGCAATAGACCACACAAAATTCGCATCGGTATCGGCACGATAAAAACCCAACCATCCACAGCAATTAATTATCAATAAGCGAGCAATTGTCGATTGGTTTTGCATTAAAATCGACACAATACAAATGGTAAAGAGCTTAATAGCAACATAAAACTGATACAAAATTGTGTGTATTCTCCGTTCAATGTACAGAAGAAGAAGAAGAAGAAGTAGAAAAAACCAATTGCAAAGTGGAGAAGAATACGAAAAACCGCATCTTGTAGCCACCGCCGCCGACAGTATAACCGCAGCGCTTGAAATGAAAATTATTTTATCGAGAAAATTGCATGGTTTCTGGTTAAACTGAAAGTTTGACAGATCAGTTGGTTTGCAATATCTCCCAGAACTATCTCGCGATATCGTTGAAACGGAAGAAAAAAAATTGAGTAATGCAAATAAGGGAATCGAGAAGCGAAAATAAAACAATCAAACGCACCAACGGCTGCCAGGCAAGGATCCAAACGCTTGATTCGCCGTTAAATTTTTCATTGCAGTTCTATTGCATGGCACAGCATTTTCATGCGCCGTTGTCCGATGCACATTGTATTCGTTTGTTTGTTCATCGCATTTAGTTTGGAGCGGATTAAATTATGCGGATTGCATCAAAGACGAATGCTATATGGCGCCTTTTGATGCACAACAGGGTCTCTTTCTCCGTTGATGTCCACACACTCCATTCTCTCTCAGCATCCAATTCTTTAGCTCATACCGTTCTTTCCTTTCCTTTCTTTCTTTTTTTCTCTCGTTGACTCTTGTGCGCTGCGCTCTCCGTTGTGTTTGTTTTTAATAATTTTCGTTTTCAATAAATAAATTCAGTCAATTTTTTTTTCATGCATTCCACCACATTGGTGAAGAGCGACTCTTCTCGCAGCCACATTTTACATGCCACTCGCTCGCCCGCTCACCGAAGACGACGGTATCTTTTTTTTATTGTTGTACTGTTGCTGATCTTGTTCATTATTGAAAAATCGACCAATAAAAATCACATATTTAGCCATACTTTTGGTTATTATTGTCGTATTTATTTCGATAAGCAATTAATTTGCATGTCGAATAAATTGTGGCGCCTGCACGAATCCAACCACAAATGGCCAACAGCAGATATAAATATCAAACGATAATTCCACGCACAATAAAATCAATGAAATTTCATTTCTCGCCAATTCCGCTTTAAGGCCGTGTTTTATTCTTACAGAAAAAACTTTTTTTTGGAATTGAATGAACGAGTTTGGATTTGATGACGAATTGGCAATTTTGAAGGCACTTGGAATATATATTGAATAATTGATAAATTTAAAGAGTATTATTTTGAGTGCTTGAAATGAGTTGAAATGTTGAATTTGCAACATTTTCTCCTTATTTTCTAAAAAAAGACGCTTCAAATTGTTCTCTCTCTCTCTCTCTCTCTCTCTCTCTCTCTCTCTTCAATTCAGACTTAAATTCGATGCGAAAGACCAAACGAAAAAGATCAAATGCTTGTCTCAAAGGAAACGAATTCAAATTTGTCTGATCATCCAACGATGATGCAAGCTCGGCCTCGTTTTAATCGGCTATAAAATTAATTTTCGCCCGCATTATCGCAGCGTTTAAGTAAAATGTGATGTTTTCTGTATTCATATCGAAATGCAAACAGGAATTCACATCAAATTTATCGGCTTAAAATGTGTTGCAAATGTGAATTAAAAAAAAAATACTGTCCGATGAGTCCTGAGAAGATGGACACGAGACTTTATCTCTCCTTTGAGCATAATTTACGTCGCTCTTGGCATTTTTTACGGAAAAAAGTCCGAAAAAGCGATAGCAAAATATTACCGCAAAAACATGCGACGTTTCTCCATATATGCATTTCGTGCGACGGAAATGATGAATTTGGAATGTCACACAGCATTGAAGCGCTTGAGTCATTTGCGGTTGAATTTTTCGTTGGTGCGAACAGAAAATGTTGACAAAATATTCAATTATTCGGCGAAAGTGCACGAAATCAACGCGCGGCCGACGCTGATGGTATGCTCGCATTTGCGGTAGAATGTATTCAAAATGTTTGAAAATTGGGAATTTCAACAGCTGAAGTCAAAATGAAAACGCATAAAATCGAATAGCAAATGACACAAAAAAAGTATTATTTCCATTGGCACATGGTTTGCTGGTCGACCTTTTCGAATGAAGAAAAAAAAACAAACAAAAACCGAATGTTCCACATAACTTTTGTGTTCCGACAGAGGGACAGAGAAATTCCTTTTGCATAGCAATTAATACATTACGATTTAAAAAAAAAAGCGACAGCGAGAAATACCCATTGAAAACGGTCTCTTGTGTGATTCAATTTTAATTTCTTATTTTTGTTAATTCACATTTTTTATTCGCTCTGTCTTAATTCCGTTTTCTTTGTTTGTTTCGTGTTTTTTTTCTCTCTCTTTCTCTTTCCATGTTCTTGGTTTTTATCGTTTGAAAATTAATGCGAACGAAAAAAAAAAAACAAAACAAAAAACGTACAGGTGCTTGCCGTCGACGATGCTTGAGTTTATTGAAGACGTTGCGCGATCGACATTTAGATTTGCCCGGCAATCCAGTCACATCGTACCATATGAAAACACTGTTGCTGTACGAATGTGAAAAGCATCCGCGCGAAGCCGAATGGGAGGATAATTGTTTAGCTGACCGTATAAATGGCATATTTATGCAATTGATATCGTGTTTGCAATGCCGAAGATGTCCCCATTACTTTTTGCCCAACATGGACTTGTTCAAGGGAAAATCGCCGAACGCATTGGAAAATGCTGCACGACAAGTTTGGCGTTTACTACGTATCATGCTGACGAACACACGATGCCTCGAAGAGCTCTAAGCCGTCGACAGAAATGCAGCCCGATTTAGACGTGTAAGCTGAACGAATTTGAACGTGTGGGTGGAAAAATCAATGAAACAAGACAATTGACGAAGGAGGAATGGATCCATTCCTTCAAAAGAAAATGGCGGAAGATCCGTTATTATATTAAAAATTACTTCTAATATCAAATATTAGAATCAACTGAGCGGCACGAACCACATTTTTTTTGGCTTGTCTCCAGCAAATTTGTATACAGATTAAGTCGTATGTATACGTAATAGCAGAATAAGCATAACTTATTTATAATTTAGACAAAGAAGACAAACATTTATTTGGGAATCTTTAAGAAATCGCGGAACAAAAAACAACAATGCTTTGAACGTAATGCACCGTTTTCAAAAACAAAATTTGTTACATTTCACGCTGTTTTTTTTTACTCGATAAAATTTTTAACTGACTGCAGGGCGAAAAATGAAGAAAAAACAACCAATTTGGCAACTTTAACGAATTCATCTAATGTATACGAACATTCTCATTTATGCAGAGAATAAAAACATTCATCCTTTTCATTTTCTATTTACTAGACACTGTTTTTGTTTTTTTTAGATGTAAAACGCTTTTTTGTGCAATTCTTTTTGAAAAAAAAAAGTATAAATATTTTTTCTCTTTCGATTTTACTAGACATTTTCTTTGATATTGTCTCTCTTTAAGCGATGATTTTGCAAAAAATCAAAATATATAACGAAAAAACAATCTTTCTATTTAAATACATGCAACTGAAACTGAATAATAAAATGACCATTTGTAGAATGAAAGCGATGGCAATGTTCTCATTTCATATCAACGACCACATTAAAATGCGATTGACTGACGATGGAACGACCGAATGAATTTCGGTTTGAGTAAAGCATTTTACGAGGACATTTCGGAGCAATTAAAAAAAAAATAAACCGAAGAGAAAGAAGATCTTATCGAGAAAAATCTTGAAACGTGAGCGTAGGCCGTGCTCTCTATTGCTGCGCACACAGCAGACTTTGTCACCACGATCTGTCACCTGGCTCTTTGTTATAAATCATGAATCAACGACAGGTAGGTAACGATATTTCATTCGATTTTCATCAATTCCAGGCATTTCTTTTGTACTTCTATTGCTTCTTCAGAAAGAACAAAAACAAACAAAAGCAGACAATTCGTTTTGAACAAAAGAGAAAACTTCATTTCACTTTGACTGACTGGATGAAGAAGTAGCTGAAACAGTGAGCAGTAGACCAATTTGAATGAAAAATAGCAACCAGAACGAGAACCGTTTATTTACAATAAAGTTTATTAACAACGAGCACTTCATTTACAAATTACTTTAATGCAGTCAAACTGCATTATTTTCGCTTTTGTTTGCTTTTACGTAACATAAATCATGTGGGTTCGCTGTGTTTAGTTTTCGAATAATGTTGAAAATTGAAATTTTCTCCCCAGCTTTGAGAAGGAAAGAGAGAGAGAGAGAGACAGAATGGAGAGCGAAGAAAAAAACCCGAATGAAATGTAAACGCTGTAGAAAAGATAAATTATCGCATATCAACCACAAAACACAATGGTGATGATACCTGTTCAAGTCGAACAAAAGGTATTTTCGTTTGATGTGTATCACATAAATGATGTTGAATCATGCAATCGGTCGGTGTGCAAGCCGGCGAGAGAGTGAGCGAACGAACGAATGACTCGACTGTCTTTTCACTCGAATGCTCGGTCGAAAAGGAGGATGAGAAAATTATGAGCGTGCCTATCATTCATTTTGAACTAATAATAATTGCTACCGTTGCAACCGTATGTGTATTGATTTGAGTGATATTCTAACCAGAATACAGGCTCAACGTCAAGATCAATTATCATGAAATAACAATGGTAAATCCCACTAGTGGCAAAAAAAGGATCTGCATTTCCGTCCAATATCAATCCGTTGCTCTAATTTGATACGTGTACGTCTGTCCATTGGTCATTCTTTAAATTGGATTCAATCGGCAAATCAGATTTTACGATGGTCTTTCGAAATACCAGAGAAGATCTTTTGCAAAATACGTCCCGGCACAACAAAATTCGTATCATTTGAACGGCACAACAGCTTTACGCTTGACATGATTTGCTCATTTTTCGAGACAAATTCGAAAAGATAGATGTTTTTACATTTGCTCAGCCTCACTGCACACGGATGCAACATCTTCATATGGAATCGCACCCTTGTTAAAAATGAATCATAGGACGCGCGCACGCTGCCTCTTCTTCTTTTTTCAATCAGTCACACCACAGTAATTCTTGCCACTGCATTATTTTATTACATTGGAGCCACCCGTAATCTGCCGGGCTAACGGAGGAGGGTGATTCCACTGTGTGTGTGTTTTTTCCCGTTGTTTACTTCGAATGAATTTCGATTTTGTGAAGAGTAATGAAAATATTAGTACATTTTATTGTGATTTCGTCTCTGGATATGCACTTAAAACCGATCTGCAATTTGTTTGTTTCCCCAGTTCGAGTTGCTGTTTTTGTTTAGTGTCATGTGAAATTCGACACTGTGTGTTAGCATTTGCGGTAATCAAATTTAGATTATATTGATGATGATGTTTTTGTTTCCCTTTCCATGTTGTACCATCTTCTTCTTTTTTTTGGAGAAATTTGTGCTGGTTTCGAGGGTGGTGTGTGTATGTGTGCGCCCATTCGAAACGAGACTTGTTTTCTATTTTGATGCGCTCCCGAATTGAAATGCATGTAATTTAAAACTTGATCTCTGCCGAAGTGCACGGCACGGCATTATAAGACCATACTCTGTTGCCGTCGTCGTTCGAAGATTAGAGGGTTACAGCTCATTTTATGCCGTGCTCATCGTACCTTTTCCAACTAATTCCAGCTCTGGAATCAATGCACAAGCCCAACAACCACATCATATTTCACCAGCAAAAAAAAGCCATTTATAGCTCTTTTGTGAACTAGTAAAAGAGCCATTTGTACACTTTTGCCGTAAGTACTCGAATTTGTTATTATGATTGCGATTGCTTTTTAACGAATGCCAGCAATTTTTGTCGTCGTTGTTGTTGTTGTTGCTGCTGCTGTTGTTGTTCCACCATCACGTCGCACAGACTTTATGCTCATTCATGCTTAGCCAAGCGAACTCAATAGATTCCACATGCAACCGAAACGAACACACAAATATTTTAATCCAAACTGATGCTCGGCTCGCAAACGCTCGAATCCACTCCATCCATCCATATACTTACACACACACGCGTAATTAACTTACGCCAACATCTCGTACAACACATTCCGAAAATGGATCAAATTACTTTTGTCTTCTTGTTACTTCTTTTACTCGTTGAATATATATGCATTCCAACTGATGGATGAATTCGATTATGCGAATATTCATTGTCTCTTCTTGTTTTACTGAAAGGAGAAAAAAAACTGATTGTGTTTTCCTCTTTCATCTTTTTGTTTGTTATTTGTTTGTTTTCCCATTTTATTTTTCGTTTTGTCAGAATATTGGCATCTTTTGCTTCATTAAAACGTATGAAATCCAAAGTTTTGATTCCAAACATGAAGAAATAATAGGTAAGTTTCAATTCGTGCTCATTGAGCCCTTTTATTATCGCAAATTCATCTTCGACGATGGGGTCGTTTACCTTTTGATTCCGAAAAATCTTTGCCATAAATTCAAATCCGTTCTCAAATTGACTTGTCTCAAAAAAAAATTTCCCCAAATTCTTGGAAAGCACCAGAATGTGCATTTCGTTCAGTGTGTATATAAACATGTTGACAGACGGAATAATGGGTGCATTTCTTGTGAATAGCAGCCAACAAAGGACGACATGGATTTGGAAATGTTACGTTGCCAATGGTAACATGGCTTCTTGTATTTCAATTTCGTTATACACAAATAAACCTGATAAAATACGGTTTCGCACAGCGAACTACCTAAAATCACCAAATTTCAAATTGAATTTAATCAAAAACGACACATTTGGCACAAATAAACATTGGGGAAAATTCGAACACGTAATTTTTCAATGAGCCCATACATTGAGAAGCCACATGGTTTTTTTAATTCTCTCGATTGTCGAATGAGCTTATTTTGCATAAATTACCATCACAAATTGCTGTAAACAAGGAAAAGGAAGCTGAACAAAAGAGCGACGCAGAAAATTAGTGAAATTAATGGCATCATTTTCAATTATGAACAGAGTTAATTCCCTCCCAAAAAAAAACACATTTTTGCTATTGAGTTTTTGGATTTGGTCATTCATTCGATGAGACGATGGTTATCTGGTTGCTGTTGTCTTCTTCTTCTTCTTTTTTTCCCTCTTTGAAATTTATGTGTGTTTTTCTTTAATGGCCTGCGATCAACATAAATGAATGTGTTGAATAGTACATAATATTTAAATAAAAAATAAGTAAAAATGATAGTCGTGAGCGCCACACACACTAGCACCGCAGTCAATTGGTCGAAATAGAAATGAAAGATGTGGTGAAGAACCCCTGGAATCGAAACGAAACCACCGCTGCTTTTGTTTTGTATAATCTCCAAATGAAACGATCATCGAAAGTAAATAATAGAAAATTCTTGATAAAAAAAAATGCCAAGACAGCGAGTGATGAGAACGGAACGTGGAGGAAAAACAACAACAACGACGATGAAGAAATGATGAAACCGTGTAATCTGTGAACCAACCGAATAAAAATGAAGATACGAGGTGAGCCCAAAGAGACCAAGTCGAAACATGTCGAAATGAAAATAAATGAGATATTTTCAACAAAATGCAAATGCACTGGTGTGCGGACAGAGGCTCGGATTCAACATGACACACCGGCCCAGCAACAACAACAACAACGACGACGATGATTACCAGAGAACCATCATCGAACAGCGAGTGCGACATTTAATTAATCAAAATTATCTTCCCGTAGATAAGTTTTGTGATAGAGAATCGAGATGAGAATGCGAGAGAGAGCTCAAACGTAACCTAATCCATTGCCATATGCAACAATGTGCATATGGTCCTTGATCGGTGAGTGGCCGCTTGCTATTGCGCGCCCATATAATAATTGCCAAAAAAACAACAACCAAACAAAAAACACCGAAAACAAACCAACCAAAAAACATAACGTGAATATTTGGATGGGTAGGTAGATCGAGGTAGACGCAATAATTCATTGCGTTTCGTTGACAGAAATACGCTTTTTTGGTTGGCTTTTAATTTGGTGTCGCTTTTGTTTCGACAATTTTTTTTTCTTCTTCTTTCATTTGTTCAGTGATCCAAGCACAACAACAGCATGTTTGTTGCGATGTTACTTTTGTAAATAAATTTATAAAATATTCTTTTTTTTATCCTGAAATGATCGGGCTGCAGTAACAATACTAATGCATTTGAGATGACATTTAGCAAAAGGTAAGAAGGTAAAGTCGAAGAAAAAAAAAATTCGCAAGAAGAAAAAAAAAACCACCGGCAAACCAAAACAAACGATCGTATATCGGTCATCATGCTCATGCGAGATAAACCATAAAATGTAAGTTACGTTTGAATGAATTCGTTGTGCAGCGCGTGGTCTTTTTTTCTTTCTTTTCTCTCGTGGTAGAATTTATTGTGAATTTCTTAATGGTATTTGTCGTTGCGGGCTGCTGCGAAATGCCGGTAACATAATACCGCGCGATCTCTGAACAAGGCTGAAAAAAATGAACCTAACAAGATTTTCATTCTTTCAAATGTTTTGTGCCAAACTGCAGAAGCAATGGCATCAGCAGCAAGTATTTCAGAGACAAAAGCAATAAATAAATTCGGACATTCGAGCAAAGAGAGTGAACGAAACGAGAGAAAAAAAAGAACAGAACCAAGAAACAGCCAACGTAACAACGAAAGATATCAAGCTAAGATAAAGACAAGTTGATGCTCTATGTCTGTACAGTGACTTGGTGTGTGTCTGTTGCTCGGCTCTTCGTTCACTTCAACATATATCCCAAAATGCACACATTTATATTTTCTACGGATTCGATATGTCTTTTTCTACACATACTTAACAACATGCGTATTGAAAATATTGTAATTAAAGGCCAAACCGTTGGAGTTTTCGATCAGCATCGCGTTGAAGAAAAAAAAACCACGACAATTTATTTTGACAATCGAAATGAATTTCGAATAATGTGGTGGAAAATGAAAAAGAAGAAGAAAATGCAACAGAAAAACAAGAGACATGTTGAGCCAACGATTAGTATTTATTCAGTGTGCACATAGAAATTATTTGTTTTGAGCTTCTCGTTGTCTTCGATATGGTGGAACGTATTTAAAATAAAATAATCATTAATTACCATGTTAAAAAATCAATATAATAAACGATCGAATAATGTAAATATCATGTCGTTAGCCGTGTTGGTTGCACTCATTCTCTCTCTCTCTCTCTCTCTCTCTTCTCCGCACAGAAGAACCGTTTTTGGACAGAAGACGATCGAGAAACAAAACAGAAAAACGAACACACACTACAAACGAATTTATTGGCCGAGACACACGAAAACACGTAGACAATGGGACAAGAACAAAAAAAACAAACGCAGAGACATTAACAATTCCGTCTTATCTCATCGCAAGCGAGCGCGACCGCTCTATACCCACATCGATTGGCGATCGGCACATTGAACAAGCTGTATGCACTTCCAACTGAGACAACTCACATTCTCAACTCCTTCGATCATCTCACTCTCTCAACGAAACGCTCGAAACCAATATTTCTCCCAAACAGAGAGAAACACAAATATATTTAAATACACAAACATTGCATAATTAATTAGCCACAGTAACCTGATATGGGTAGTTGATTTCGACTCTAAAACGAACATTGCACTCTCTATGAGAGAAATATGAATTTTTCGTTGGCGGCTATTAAATTCCCGAATGACTCGTAGAATGCGTCTGAAAATAAGTCAACGTTAAGCATTTGCATTTCAATCTGGGGTCAAATACTATATATTCATAAGATGTGGTCGATAAACATTAATCTTTCAAGTAAACCTGCCATTTACCGAGGCAGGTTTGAATAAGGATCAATTTTCATTTTAAATAGATAAGATTTTGTTGATACCAATTTCAATAGGATGTGATTGATACGACTGACTGCTGTGACGTATAAGGCTTCCGAATTCGGTCATTTGGAATGGGACCATTTTCTTTTCGCTATTCCATCCTTTCGAATGAACTTGACTCTTTTGTGTTAATCACTTGTTAACGATGAATTTTGAATATATTTGTTAGTCATCACGAATGGTTCATTCGTAGAGTCTCTAATTGAACTAAGCACTCTGGTAGGAATGATAGTCTTCAGCATGCAAATTTGAACTTTCAGAAGGAAAACCGTTTAAATTCCGACCATATTTTGAACGATTTAATTTGAGATGAAAAAAAGACCAATTTTTCTTTGAAAAAATTGGAAAAAAAAGAAAATTTCTCTTTTTTTCGAAATTTTGTCAAGAAAATACATGCCAAATGTGGAGGGTGAGGTTCATTATATGTATTAACATTCTCGTTTTCTTTGTTGTACCAATTCCGCCGTTGATTTGAATCATAAACGAAATTGTGTCTGTTCATTTTTAACAGTGTACTTTTTCATATGAGCAGCAGTCCTAACCTCACTCTTTTGATCTTTGATTTTTGTTAAGAAATAATCGATTTTGAAGCATGAATTAAATATCCTAAAGATGTACTTTCCAATTAAAAATCCAACTGGAATATAAATAGCAAGATGTATTACCGTCGAAATAATACTTCTCCCGCTGAAAATCATCAAAATGTTTACTTCTCAAAATCAAAACACACTGGGTCATTTGGTTGTTTTGTCTACCTTTAATAGCATTTCTTCTAAATACAACAAAACCATCATGTTTTCATCGCTGTACACGGTGTTTCGAAGAATGATGTTGTTCCATTATCAAATTGTTTGTGTGCTTAGTACGATATACATGTTAGATCTGGACTGGGAAAGTACCGTTGGCCATTTGATCTTGCCACTTTTCGACCCAGGCATTTGGGCAGATATTCTGGAACACTTTTTGAAAGTAGTAGCATGGTTCGTAGTTTTCACCGCGCAATTTCTGGCATCTATAGAAATCGATGAATGACTGGGTGCAGTATTTGGTTTGGTTGGTGTTTGGGAATCGTGGATCGAACGGAGCGCAGAATGGTAATTGCTTCTCCAATTCGGCTGTGGTTGGTTCAGGCATCTTGTTGATTCGGTTTTTGTTTTCTCTTCAAATCTAAAAACAAAACACAAAATACTTTTAATTTCAATTCAAAGTTCAATGCACAAATGATTCATGAATAAATCAGACAAAAAAACATTTGCTCGCCAATTGAGTCAATAGTGTTAGCTACCAACTCAACTATATCAATAAAATTGTGACATAACACCAAAACGACAGATTGAAAATATACTCTGCTCGCTTGAGCACCAAAGATTGAAATGCATCATTTTTTTAATGATTGAAGCACTTTTTTCACATCGCTGGTGTTCTTTCACAAGTTTTTATATGAAAATAATATTCATTACGTAATTTCCAAACAACAATAGAATAGAAAATGAATCGTTTTACCTTTAAGAAAAATGTTCGACACACTGGCACTCAAATGACAGAAATCAATGGAAAAAAAATCGTAGCCATCTTGAATTTTTCAGCAGCTGACAGATAGTATCAAATGAATATGGTCAATGCTGTAATGGGTGCGACCGATGACTAATCAACGTAATTTGAATTTCCAAATTGGCTTTTTGTACATTTCGAACTATTTTTTCATTATTTTTGTTAATTTTTGTACTCGGAAAATAGCTATTCTTCTTTATGAAAAAAATAAATCAGAAAACCGCTTACCTTTAATTCAATTTACTCAAAAAAAAAAAACAATTCAATAAGAAAAACTTCTCTTCAAATTTTAGTCGCTTACCGAACACAGAACTATTAATATCCATTTTAAGATAACATTTCGAAATGATTCAGAAATTCCATTAGAAAATGCGTATTCAGAACATTCTGAATGGATTTCTTATTTGATAATCAATTGCTTTGTTTTGGCTTTCCATATGAGACTATGAAGGGTGTATGTATGTACTACCTACACTGTGTACAGACATTATTTTTATTTCAATATCAACTACCGTACGAGCTATTGTAATGTCTTCAATGAAAATGCCATAATGGGAGGAGAGTCAAGCAGTTTTTTTTCTTCTTTTTCGTTAATTGGGCTAGTTAGGTTGTTGAAACCAAATTTGAAGTCGGTATCGTTATACCAGCTCGAATTTTCGAGAAATGATCCAGCTATTGTGTTTGCTATTAGCAAATTGCTAATACCAGCTCAGACATTTTTTACAGAAATAGACAATTTCCGTGATTTCAACCACTTTATCATTTTCATAATTAGATGAGGTCATAATAAATCTTACTTGTCTTGATCAGTCAATGACAGATAGCTG